ACCCTCAGCTGTTTATTTTTTATGCTTTTTTTTTTCTTGCAGAATGATCTTTGTTTTCATTTGAAAGGGTAACTTTAAGAAAAGCATTGTATCTATTTTGTGAGTTCTGAATGTTTTGATGGAACTGTAATTATAATAAAAGTATAACAACTCAGAAGAACGTCTAAAACAACTTCCTGTAGCTATTAGTCAGCTTTCAGTCCTGCGGTGGGGTCTTCAGGCCTGCTGGACTCAGCACCGACTTGCACAGTGAGCCCAGGAACTGGCGATACTTGATGTTAGCCAGGATCTGTTTGTAGTCCTCTACATTCATCCAGCGAGGCTTTGATCGTTTGATGGCGTAGCGTGTGTCCCCGTACCACCGGACCAGCCAGTTGCGGGAGATTCCGGTCGTTTCTGACAGCAAGTCGTACTGCGCGCTGTCTGGGTACTGACAGTCACGGAAAGCCGCACGCAACTTCTCCAGCTGATCCGGCCTCTCTGCTTTCATACAGGCTGGAGCGGGAGGAGCATTTATGTCGGCAACATGGCCTTCATCTTTGATCGGAGCGGGTGGGTCGTCTGCAGTAACACCACTGTTGTCGGTGGTGTCTAGCCCCTTCAGTTTGTCCTCATCTGTGACCAAAATGTTTAGGTCGGTAGCATCGGCATGGGGATCTTCGTCCAGACTGGCCAACAAGTCTGTTTTTTCGTCAAGGCTGCTGTTCTTGGAGGAAACGTCAGCTCTGTCCAGGTCCATTTCAGATGCTGGGGTGTTTCTGAGGGTTCGTACTGGACGTCTGATCGGTGGACTGGCACCTAGACGGATCCCAGACACAACGGGACTCTCATGGGGGGGGTTCACCTCTTCTTTCTTTAATTTCTTTCTCCCCCTGGTCAGAACTCCTCCTTCAGACTTGCCTGTTAGCCTTTCATTCTCATTCTCATTTCTCTTATCTTCTGCTGCTTTTTCAGCATCGTCTTCTTTGCCCACCCCCCTCTTTCTGCTTCCAGCTATCGTTTCCTCTTTCTGTTTTTGTGGAACACTGGCTTTGACTTCTTTGATCTTTGTTTTCTTCCTATTAGCACTCACCCATTTCTTTCCACCTGACCCTCTTTCCACATCCTTCTGACTCCCTTTCTTGCCTCCTTTACCCATCTCTCCATTCGGCCCGTTTGATCGCTCTTCGCCGCCATCTTTGTGAAGGGATTTGAAGTGTTTCCTGGCTTCCCGGATGTCTGTGTAGTCCCAGCTGATACCATAGCAGACCCTCTGTGCCATGAACCACACCCTCACCAGCTGTGGGTGCAGGGAGCAGCGCTGCGCCAGCGCATTGGTCTGCTTGAGCGTCAGATATGGAAACTTACTGAAGGCTTTGTCCAGCTCTGCCGCTGCATCTGGCTTTAGGTCAATCTGGGGCAAGAGAACCCATAAAAACTTATTACTCAACGAGAGCACAGGGAGACACAGTGGCTGGTTTGGATGCATGCTGAAGTTACTCTGAGGCCTTCCGGTGTCTGATGACTGAGCCACAGAGGCTAATGCCTTCTGTTTGGGGCTGATGTGCCCTGCGTTGGCAAGCTGCCTCATCACAGCCAGGAGTGGGAGGGAGTCCTGCAGACAAAACAAAAAGGATGGAATAAAAATCTCCCAACATTTTTATACTGTCCGTGTCTGATTGTGTGAGTAGTTCTTCCTTAGTCTCGGCTATAAAATAAATAACCATCAGCCTAATGTATATTTAATGTTTGAGCTTTATTTATAGCAATCCTGGCAACATTTTTATCATTTTCTTCAAATATGGGAAGGACTAAAAACGCATATGTTGGGTTTAAACCAACACAACGTGTGACATCTGTTGCCAAAAATTTAAACATAAGAAGCAATGTCACGCAGCAGGTTAAGAAAGCATGGAAGGGTATGAAAACGAATTCTCATGAAATCAAACAGTCAGCACATTTATCTGAAACGTTTACTAAAACGATTATTTGTGAACAGAAAAAAATGACTGAGCCAGCGCATCGTGTCTCGCGATAACTTAAAGCCTAAACACCTATATATGTGCTAAACACGTAAAAGGTCTCGCGATAACTCCCTAAAACTCGAAATTAAGCTAGCGGTTTGGTTCTAAAGTCGTTGCTTTACTGATTTAGGTCATTTTAACTCTATAACTCACACGTCACGAGACCTTAAACCAAATTTTAAAATAATCTAAACTATAACACGTGATTGTTGACAATCATATTTTAATAATTCAGAAGATGCGTTGCAAACCATTAGCGCTACCTTGTTTAGCTAACTTTAGAAAGTCACCGTGTACACATTTTATAAATTTAAACACATTATTCAAACTTACGTCACTTCACTAGACCTCAGTTTTGCACTTTCAGCTTTTAAAAATGTCAAAATTTTTTATTTTAAATCCTGCTAATCGGCAGACGTAAAAACCAGGATCAAGGTTCTCGAAGCTCCAAAACACCGTGAGATGTGACGTCATTCAAACCGTTCAGTCGCCACATTTTCCTCATGTTCTCATGGTCCCACAAAGATCAGGGTTTCTTCCAAACAAATTTGTTTTAACTTAAATTATTTATATGCGACAAGGGATAGTTTATGCTCTAGGCTGAGCTAATCAATCTGCAATAAAGTAAAAAACAAAAAATAATTCTTGCCAACAGATGTAAAATAAAATTTAAAAACATATATATAATCTATTTTACAGCATACATTTTGTTAAGATCTAAAATGCAACACACGGCACGTTCTGCAAACATTTTAGAAATAAAGTAACCTAAAGGCAAGATTCACTTGATTCAGGTTTAGGTCAAATTGTTCACAAAAGTAACGTAAGCAGAATATTCGTGGTTCTCCTCTGGTCAATGAGAACACAAACACCCATCCCACATTTCCCCCAAAGACATGTAGACAATCTCCCAAGGGAAAATATTCCATGGACTGATGTGTGAAATGTTACATCTGGTGTATATACTAACACTTCCTTTCAGAACATCAGACCAACAGTAGTGGTGGTGTAATGGTCTGGAGCTGCTTTGCTGCTCTAGGAAATAGACAACTTTTTCTAATTAATGAAACCATGAATGTCGCTCTCTAATAGAAAATCCTGATGGAGAACCATTGCCACCTTGAGTCATGCAGCATGACAATGATCTTAAATGTCCTGCTTGAAAGGCTGGTCAAAGGTTACATCACCTCTATCCTATCCCCTTTACGTCAAAATGACTATTGTCCAAAGTGCTCCAACCAGGATGCCATGTCCACTGCATTCCACCTGTCTATGGAAAACTTGGAAAAGAATGCACTGGTCCAGATGCTGTTTGTGGAAATAGGTTGGCCTTAGAATCCCACAGGACATGATCAACAAACTGGGCCCACTTGGTCTGAACACTGTCCTGCAAAATTGGACTCTTCAACAGACCTGCCTCAATTTGTACGGGGAGGGAATAACAGGTCAGATATCACCACGCTGAGCACAGCCTCTCCACAGGTGTGCATTCTCAGCCACCCCTTACATTAGACTCCAAAGAAATGGTGATTAGATCCAAGAAGAAAAGCCCTGTGCATACTCTGCTTTACATCAAGGACACTTCACTGGAGATTGCCTCCCACATTTCCAAAAACTTCACCTGGTCAACGCACACCTTCGCCATGGTCATAAAAGCTTACCAATGCTTACACTTCCTGGGGAAACTAAAGATGGCACACTCAGGTGCTATTGCTATCCAGCAGCTTCTCTATGGCAGGTGAGCAGCAGGGGCTCCCATAGGAAGGTGTTGGGAAGGGTGGCAGGTCAACTGTATAGATCATTGGGGTCACACTGCCATCTGTTGCGGACCTGGTGAAACAACTCAGCTCGTTGAGGTCAATGAGAATCACCAAGGAAACCATCCACCCCCTAACATATGGACTGATTTATCTCTCCAACTCCCAGGCCAAAAAAACCACAGCCTGCTAACAGCAATCAGACTTTTGAACACTTCCAGGTGCTTTTAACAGTTTTTAAAGTTTTTCTACCTATGCTTGTACTTACTTGGACAAAGATATTTTATAGATTTATAGTCCCCTCTTCTTTGACATGGTTTTATTTATAACATTATTTTCTTTTACTTCATTTTTTAAAAATCCCTAACGGCATTTGTCTGTTTTTTTTTTTTTTTTTTTTTTTGTGGTTAAATGCATCGCAATTTTGTTCTGCATTGCATCATGATGTAATGTTGAATGATAAACACTTATTGGAATGACATCAAAAAGTCTATCTTTGAATGTCTCAACAATCGAGCAAAGCGAAGGTTTTGGAGTGGCCTAGAAAACATCCAGATTGTTTTTCAGTTGAGATGTTGCGATGACGCTGGATAATTCGCTAATGTAGCTAAAAGTAACCCAAAATACCTCACTGCATAGTAACTCTGTTTAAAGCATAAGATAAAGTCAAAAAGTTGTTATATGAACTGAATTCACGTTAAAACAGTGAATTTATTTTGTGATAAATTGACAAAACTCACCATTGGAGTATAAAATACACACATGTACCAAAACAACCCCAAATTTATTAGGTAATAGGTACAGGAACTAGTTTTTAACAGAGTAGTGGGAAATATTCATCTATGTGTGTCATGCACTCCAGTGTTCAGACGAATGAATACAATCTTAAACCTTGATGTCATAAACTCTCATAGATTTATTTAATGTTCTGAATAAAATCGAAATTTTGACTAAAGCTTACAACAATGATGGTGTTGAAGTAGAATTATTTCATTTGTTTGATGGATTTTCTGTTTCTAAAAATTATAAAGTAATGAGTTCTATGGAAAAACCTTGTAAACCTGAACTACATTAAAATCAAAGTAGATGGTATCATTTTCTGGGAAATTGCACAAGCTCCCTATGCCCTTACACGGGTGCGGCTCGTTTGTCAAACTGAACAGAAAAACCTCACAGATTGTGGGCGTTCTAAGGCACCTGACAGTGTTGCTGTGTCGTGAGAAAGTTTAGAAGCTGGCACAAACGTCACGAAATTCTCAAAAATCCATCCATCCATCCATCTATCCATTTTCATCCGCTTATCCGGAGTCAGGTCGTGGGGGCAGTAGCCTAAGGCAAGAGGCCCAGACTTCCCTCTCCCCAGCAGCTTGGGCCAGCTCCTCCAGGGGAATCCCAAGGCGTTCCCTGGACAGGTGAGAGACATAGTCCCTCCACCGTGTCCTGGGTCTACCTTTAGGTCTCCTCCCGGTTGGACGTGCCCGGAAAACCTCACCAGGAGGCATCCTGACCAGATGCCCTAGCCACCTCAACCGGGTCCTCTCGATGTAGAGGAGCAGCGGGTCTACTCCGAGCCCCTCTCGGATAACTGAGCTTCTCACCTTATCACTAAGGGAGAGCCCAGCCACTCTTTGGAGAAAACCCATTTCAGTCCCTTGTATCCGTGATCTCGTTTTTTCGGTCACTACCCAAAGCTCATGACCATAGGTGAGGGTAGGATGGACCAGCAAATCGAGAGCTTTGCCTTCTGACTCAGCTCTCTCTTCACCACAACAGACCGATACAACTCCCGCATCACTGCAGATGCAGCACCAATCCGCCTATCGATCTCACACTCCAGTTTTCCCTCACTCGTGAAGAAGACCCCGAGATACTTAAATTCCTCCACTTGGGGCAGGACCTCATCCTTGACCCGGAGAAGGCATTCTACCATTTTCCGAATCAAGACCATGGTCTCAGATTTAGAGGAGCTGATTCTCATCCCAGCTGCTTCACACTCGGGTGCGAACCGCTCCAGTGAAAGCTGAAGATCACGATCTGATGAAGCCAACAGGACCACATCATCTGCAAAAAGCAGAGACCTGATCCTCAGGCCACCAAAATGGATGCCCTCCACACCTTGGCTGCGCTTAGAAATCCTGTCCATAAAGGTTATGAACAGAATCGGTGACAAAGGGCAGCCTTGGCGGAGTCCAACTCTCACTGGGAACGAACCCGACTTACTGCCGGCAATGCGGACCAAGCTCGGACATCGGTCATACAGAGACCTAACAGCCCGTATCAGAGGGCCTGGTACCCCATACTCCCAGAATACCCCCACAGGGCCCCCCGAGGGACGCGGTCAAAAGCCTTCTCCAAATCCACAAAACACATGTAGACTGGTTGGGCAAATTCCCACGCACCCTCCAGGATCCCCCTAAGGGTATAGAGCTGATCCAGTGTTCCACGGCGAGGATGAAAACCACATTGCTCCTCCTGAATCTGAGGTTCAACAGTCCGATGGACGCTCCTCTCCCGAACCCCTGAATAGACCTTACCAGGAAGGCTCAGGAGTGTGATCCCCCTGTAGTTGGAACACAGCTTGCGGTCCCCCTTTTTAAATAAGGGGACCACCACCCCGGTCTGCCAGTCCAGTGGGACTGCCCCCGATGTCCATGCGATATTGCAGAGCCGCATCAGCAAACACAGCCTCACAACATCCAGAGCCTTAAGGAACTCCGGGCGGATCTCATCCACCCCTTGAGCCTTGCCACAGAGGAGCTTTTTAACCGCCTCAGTGACCTCAGCACCAGAGATTTGAGAGGCCAACCCAAAGTCCCCAGACTCTGCTTCCTCACTGGAAGACGTGTCGGTGGGATTGAGGAGGTCTTTGAAGTATTTTGCCCACAATCCACAACGTCCTCCTGAGTAGAGGTCAGCAGCACACCGTCCCCACTATAAACAGTGTTGGTAGAGCACTGCTTTATCCCCCTGAGGCGCCGGATGGTGGACCGGAATCTCCTCGAAGCCGTGCGGAAGTCTTGCTCCATGGTCTCACCGAACTCCTCCCATGCCCGGGTTTTTGCCTTAGCGACCACCCAAGCTGCTTTCCGCTTGGACTGCCGATACCCGTCAGCTGCCTCTGGAGTCCCACAGGCCAAAAAGACCTGATAGGACTCTTTCTTCAGCTTGACAGCATCCCTAACCGCTGGTGTCCACCAGTGGGTTTGGGGGTTGCCACCACGACAGGCACCGACGATCCTGCGACCACAGCTCTGGTCGGCCATCTCAACAATGGAGGCACGGAACAGGGTCCATTCAGACTCAATGTCCCCCGCCTCCCCCAGAACATTTTGGAAGTTCTGTCGGAGGTGGGAATCGAAGCTCCTTCTGACAGGAGACTCTGCCAGACGTTCCCAGCAGACCCTCGTGATACGTTTGGGCCTGCCTGGTCTGACCGGCATCCTCCCCCACCATCTGAGCCAACTCACCACCAGGTAGTGGTCAGTGGACAGCTCCACCCCTCTCTTCACCCGCGTGTCCAAGACATGCGGCCACAGGTCAGATGAAACAACAACAAAGTCGATCATTGTGCTGCGGCCTAAGGTATCCTGGTGCCAAGAGCACATATGGACACCTTTATGTCTGAACATGGTGTTCATTATGGACAATCCATGACTGGCACAGAAGTCCAATAACAAAACACCACTCGAATTCAGATCGGGGGGGGGGGGGGGGCACGTTAATCCAATCACACCTCTCCAGGTCTCACTGTCGTTGCCCACGTGAGCGTTAAAGTCCCCCAGCAGAAAGAGGGAGTCACCGGAAGGAGCGCTCTCCAGCACCCCCTCCAAGGTCTCCAAAAAGGGTGGGTAGTCTGAACTGTAGTTTGGTGCATGAGCACAGACCACAGTCAGAACCTGTCCCCCCACACGTAGGTGGAGGGAGGCTACCCTCTCATTCACCAGGGTAAACCCCAACATACAGGCACTCAGATGGGGGGCAACTAGTATGCCCACCCCTGCTCGGCGCCTCTCAGTGGGAGCAACTCCAGAGTGGTAGAAAGTCCAACCCCTCTCAAGGAAACTGGTTCTAAAGCCAGAGCCATGCGATGAGGTGAGTCCGACTATATCTAGTCGGAACTTCTCAACCTCACACACCAACTCAGGCCCCTTCCCCACCAGAGAGGTGCCATTCCATGTGCCAAGAGCAGCTTCTGTAGCCGAGGATCAGACCGCCAAGGTCCCCGCCCTCGACTACCACCCGTCACACGCTGCACCCAACCCCTTTGGCCCCTCCCACGAGTGGTGAGCCCAAGGGAAGGGGGACCCAAGTTTCCTCTTCGGGCTGTGCCCGGCCAGGCTCCATGGGTGAAAGCCCGGCCACCAGGCGCTCGCCAGCGGGCCCCACATCCAGGCCTGGCTCCAGAGGAGGGCCCTGGTGACCCATGTCCGTGCGAGGGAACATGGTTTCCATTTATATAATTCATCATAAGAGGTCTTCGGGCTGCTCTTTGTCTGATCCCTCACCTAGGACCTGTTTGCCATGTGTGACCCTACCTGAGGCAGAAAGCCTCAGGCAACTTAGCTCCTGGGATCATTGAGTAATTCAAACCCCTCCACCACGGTAGGTGGCAGCCCAGGGATATTCTCAAAAATATCAACCCAAAAACAAACAAGGAGTCTTTTTGAACTTTACCCAACATTGAGTGGTATTTAAAAGATTGAAACCGGATCATTTTCTTATTTGCAAACATGTCTGGGAACGCTCCAAACGATTCTGATAGTCTCTGCGACATATGCACCGAGGACAGGAAACCAGCACAGAAGACCTGCATGAAATGTGAGATCTCCATGTGTGTCGAGCACCTGCAAGCCCACCTGACCACACCCGTGTTGCTGCCGACTCACTCTCTGACTGAGCCCATGTCTTTAGGTGAGGACTCCAAATGCCCTCAGCATGGTAAACTCCTGGAGTACTACTGCCTGGAAGACATGATCTTGGTGTGTTTCCTGTGCTATTGAGGACCAGCACTGCCTGCACAACATGAAGACCTTCTCCACAGCCCACCAGGAGCTCATGGAGAAGCTCAAAGCTGAGCAGCAGGTCTTGCTGGAGAAAAGCGATGATGACAACGTGAGTCTAGAAAAGTGGGAGCAGAGTGAGAGAGAGAAGCTGGGTCGCTGCAGCGTGCGTCTCATTGAGGCTGTCACCAACCTGCGTGATGTTTCTCTGATCAGCATCCAGAGCTCGGTCTCTGCTCGTATGGTGCCCATCAAAACCAGCAAGAGCAGCATGCAGGCAGCCCAGAAGGAGAAGGACACCTTCAGGTTCCTGCAGATGTTCTCTCAGGTGAACCAGGATGTGGAGAAAGCCAAAGCTGTGGATCTGAGGAAAGGCCTAGAGCCTGGAAGCCATAGAGACAAACTGGTTGAAAAGATAAGACAGAAAGGTGAGAAGATGATGAAGCAAAAAATCCTCACAGGCAACTTGTTCTTGTGGAAGAGTTGTTGGTTCCCTTCCCACCACAGAGGTGCTGTGTGAACTTCTGCAATGTTCTGTGAGAAGCCTGCAGCAACATTCTATCTATTCATTAGTTACATTATGTTTTGTTTAATAATCATGCTAATTTTACATATGTGGTTCTGTTTTAATGCATCATGTGAGATAATCTGACAAAAAATAAATAAATAAATAAATAAAGTCGAAGCAGGAATGGGAACGCTCTTGCTGAAAGTTTCCTGACTTTTCCAACGGTGGAAAGATCTCCAGGGACAAATCAACCTGATATGTTTAGTGTTTTTCTATCCATCCATCCATTTTCTGAACCCGCTTGTCCATGTAGGGTCCCGGGGTGTGTTTTTCTAATCGATGTGAATCTCCTGTCCTGATTGTGGCATTCATAAAGAACACATTACATTAGAATAATGACTTAATTTTTAATGTTATATAATTGTCATTTTGGTTTGAATACAGACTAGGGCCGGGACTTTAACGTGTTAATTATGATTAATTAATTAGAAAAAAATGACGCGTAAAAAAATTAACGCATTTAATCACAGCTTGCATTTCGAGCAAGGCGGAACCTTTGTTATTGCACGATTTTCTCGTAGACCGAATATCACTGACGCTCACAACAATGCACAGTGCTAATGGCTACTAAAACGGAATAAAAACAGAAAGAAGTTGCCTTGCGTGGACGGATGCAGGATTTAGGAAACACGTCCGCCTCTTTTCTTAACTTGGAAAAAAAGCTTCCAGACAACAACGGAGTCCGTGTCGCGGATATTTTTCAGAGATCGTCTCTGCTGCAGCTGCCCGGTGGCACCGGAAACGTTACAAAAGTTGCGGTAAGCTATATTTTTAACATTTACGTAACATCTGTGCAGCACTGAAAGCACCAGACAGAATAATTCTTTGCCCTAACAGTAGTTTATGAAAGTACGGTAGTCAGACAAACGAGAGGCACATGGCTGCCGCTGGGAGAACGCTCCGTGTTCTCACTACTCTGTAAACAATCACAAACAACGTGTCTTAAAGTTGAAAACAGAAGTTTAAGTTAAAACAGAAACACTCTAAAAACGCGATTAATTAATTACTAATCCTCTAATTAATTAAAAATTTTAATCGAGTCACGGCCTAATACAGACAATACATATTTTCTCAAATGTATTTTTAAAACAATTTTAGTGTTTGTCTCCACCTACTGGTTGAAAATACACATTTGCATTTGTACTCATCAATAATAAAACCGGTGAAATGGAGCGAGGAATGTTTTATTGACTCAACGTGAAATGGAAAAAGAAAAACAAACATAATTTTTATGTTTCGCAACACATACTTCACCCCCCCCCCCCCCCCCCACACACACACACACGTCTAACAGAACAGGAAATGAGCTTAATTCAGTCACGTCTAAATATTGAATAATTTACTTTCCTCTGCTAACTCCGCCTCATGAACACAAAAGGCTGTAAGAAATGAAGAAAGATGCTCCAGCAACACGTTGGTATTAATCCTGTGCTGAAGTGGGATTTATATAAATATTTATATTGATCAGCTGCTCTGCTTTTGATTTCTCTAATAGGCTGTCAGAGGTCCAACTCAGTTACATTCAGCATAGAAGAGACGGGTTGTAGTCATCTAATCTTTAAAGCTCTAATTTATAATCATTAAAGTGCAAAACATGGCTGATGGAATGGTTTTTTTCTTTAAAATAGGTACATTTCTACTCTAACCCTAACCCTTCTACCACATTGCATTAAATATTTAGGAGTCATAATTTAAGACATTTGCTATAATGCTTGAAGCAGTGCACAAAGACAGGGCTGTACTTACTGTTCATGAACAGCTCCAAACTTGCATAAATAAGATAATTAATATTAATTAAGGACTTTGTGTTTAAAAGCTGAGGAATCAAAGCTCTTATTGAGACCAAGCCGTGACTCCTGGGAACACTTTCTGGGTTTTTTATACTTGTGCTGGAAAATAATTCCAATCAACATCAATCTGAACATAAAACAGGGATAACGAGGATATTTAAAAGTAACTACATCTATCAGCTGACTCCTGTGTGTGATCAGCATGTGGGAGTCAGGCAGAAAGTGGACATTCAGTTGTCGTTGCCAAAGACGGTGTTGAGCTGCTGGGTGACTCTGATGAAGGTCGTTCTGCGGCTCAGCTCCTTTAGCTTCGCTGCTCCCACGTAGGTGCAGGTGGAGCGGACCCCTCCCAGGACGTCCCGTATCGTTTCATCAACCGGACCTTTGTAGGGAACTTCCACCGTCTTCCCCTCTGACGCTCTGAATGCAGAAACACGAATTCACCCTCATGAAAAAAAAAAAGAATCTCTCTAATCAAACCTGTTTAATGATTAAAAGGGACCTGTAATCAGCCACGCCTCCAGCATGCCTCTTCATCGCCGTGTCGGAGCTCATTCCGTAAAACAGCTTGTACTTCTTGCCGTTTTTCTCGATGACCTCCCCGCCGCTCTCCGAGTGACCGGCCAGCATCCCGCCCAGCATCACAAAGTCAGCTCCGGCACCTGGGAGTGGCACAGACAGCGAGTGACAAAATGTGCTAAGGAAAACATGTTCTAAAGCAAATTTAAAAGGTCCTTGAACATCTTTTTATTCACAATTAAACACTGTTCTTTAAGACTTTAGTTAGCAAATAACCATTAAGACCAACCTCAACTGCTTCCGCCTGATAAGACCATGCTTACCTGTAAAAGCTGCCCAGCTGTACCTGCAGGCCATGCTTCTGTCTCACCTTTCTTACTGTGTGACTGTTTGGAGTCAAGCAACCCAGTCTGTTTTAAAACCGGTCATGTGTCTGGCAGATTTTAAGTCTAGACTAAAGACTATCTTACTCTTGCATTTAACAGTTAGTTGTTAGCTTGGCTTTTACTACTCTTATTTTATCGTCCATTGTAAGGTTTCATTGGTACTTTTTTTTTCCCCGGCTTGTCTTTTTTATTGTTGGCTGTATTTCATAGTACTGTTTTATGTTTTTTATCTCTATTATTGCGCGACTGTTCAGCACTTTGGTCAGCCGTATGGCTGCGTTTTTAAAGTGCTGTATAAATAAAGGTGGTGTGGTACACATGTCACAAAGTGGAAAAGTTTGGATATAGGCCTAGTCCACACGTAGCCGGGGTTTTTTAAAAACGAATATTCGCCCCTCCAAAAACTTGCATCCACACCACCGCGTTTTAAAAACAATCTCTGTCCACACGTACCCGGATAAATACGTTGTTAAGGACATGCCAGACCTGTAGGCAGCAGTACTTCCCCGTTCTTAACCTCGTCCTTCGTCTGTGGTCTTCCGCAAGGAGCAGTAATTCTAAAACTCCGGTTTTGTCCGTCCACACGCAGACACCCAAAACGGAGAAAATGCAGATCTTCACTTTGGCCGGATTTTTTAAAAAGATCCGTTTTCGTGTGAAAGAACTCCGTTTTCGTGTGGATGACAGGCCAAAACGTAGAAATATATCTACGTTTTGGCAGATCCCCGGCTACGTGTGGACTAGGCCTAAGTTGCATGATTTGTGTTTTTTTGTTGACATGCTTATTTTGTGTTTGGAATGTTTTTTTCCCTTTGAAGTACCTCCCAGAGACACTAATTGAAACAAATGGGAACAGGTGTGGAATGACCACAGGTATAAAAGGAACAGAGGAAAGAGTCCTGGAGAGCAGCAGACACCAGAGACATGCATGAGTTCTGAGAGTAAGAGACGCACCCTGGATGGTGACGTCCCTGGCAAGGACACGAACGCCCGGCCACCCTGGAATGCAGAATGGCACCTGGAGCACTGTCCTGGGATGTGGACAAGAGCCCAAGTGTGGAGGATTGTGAGTTGCCCTCTCCTCCCCCATGTGAGTGGTGCAATTTTGGTGCTGGTGCCTCTGCGTCTTGTTAGGGCCTTGGACCGAGGAGGGCGTGACGTGTCCAAGGAGCGGAGCTGTGCCAGGGGACTGCAGAGAGACTGGCGGTGTGCGCAGCAGCCAGCGGGCGAGAGGACGACGCTGGAGCCATGGCGGCAGCACAGACAGGTTGCTGCAGGAGGTCGACTTTGTGCCTGACAGCCAAAGGACAAGGTGGGGCAGACTGGGTCCCAGCTACGTGGGTCAACACAGGTCAGCTGAAGCCAAGAGGTGGCTCCTTGTACTGGACACCGTCCCGCCCCTGGTGCTGCACAGGATGTTTTAGACTGTTTTTAGGACTGCTTTTATGTTTTTACTTCTCCAGCCTCTAAAAGACGAACTTTTAGCGGTGTTTTGCTCCTCCAAATAAATGACTGGTTTTTGTGTGAAGTGGTTCCCCTGCCTGTTCTTTGGACCATGAGTCGCTTGTTTTCCCCCTTGTATCCGGAACCTGCAGTCGTGGACTGCGGGGTGACACACAAGCCCTAAAAGTTCTGGACCAAAAACCAATGAAATGGCACCACTGTAAAATACAGGAGAAGTACAACCTGCTACATTTTGAAAACTTTATAAACCTTTCTGTCATTAAACTGACGTTCAAATGTATAAATGGCCTTGTCCCAGAGCTGGTGAGCAGACTGATTAGAAAAGCCAGCAGCACAGGAGCTACAACCAGAGGAGTAGCCAACAGAGACTGTAAACCACCAAAATACAGAACATCATTTGGTCAATCCTCGTTCTCATCTAAAGGACCTCAGATCTGGAACAATCTACCATCAAAATAAAACTGTTAACTCACTTAACTTTTAACTCCCAGGTGAAAAAATGGCTGAAACAACAAACTTGTGAACACTGTTTCTTAGTCTAATTGATCTACATTGTGTGTGTGTGTGTGTGATGACAAATGTTATAAATGCTGTTATTTGATTATATCTAGAAGTCCAACCAAGGACTAAGTTTGAAAATTAGCCTCTGGCTAGAAAACCTATGTACAAAACAACGGTTGCATTGCCCTTACATGTAACATTGTCTTTTGTGCTGTCCTTGTTCAATAAACCAATAAATAAAAATAAATAAATAAAATTTTTTGGTGCTAAAAATGAATGAACATGTCCCATGAGCTCTGGCCACAACACTGCTATTGCTGCTAACGCTAACCTAAACTAAAGCCGTACAATGAAACGACTGGGTAGCCCTACTCAGCCAGGACATGAGTATTAAATTAGCTGCATGCCAATAGGCCAGTTTACTCTGATAGTTCTACGATGCTGCCTGAAGCTGTTAACTCTGTGTACATCCGTGTACTTTACCCAGATAACTCAAGAGGCTAGCTATGGATCTATCCGGCATTCGCTCAAAGTCTGAATATTCCCAGTACATCCTGGAACGTTACGTGTGTGTCCTGACATTCTTCTTTGTTGCTTTCTGTCATCCAACCAGGATGTTAGCAATAGCTCTGGTTACCATTAACAGTTGCTTGGGCTATATATCTATATCTATAAACTGAGACCCCTGTCAATTTTCCACTCTGTTGTATCACAATTAGCTACAATCTATTAAAATCATTTTCCCTCATTAATGAACACACAACACCCCGTGTTGATAGAAAAGCAGAATTTTAGACATTTCTGCAGATTTATTAAAAAGACAAACTAAAATATCACATGGTCTTAAGTATTCAGACCCTTTGCTGTGGCACTCATATTTAACTCGGTGCTTTCCATTTCTTCTGATCATCCTTGAGATGGTCCTACACCTTCACTGGAGTCCAGATGTGTTTGATTATGTTTTACACAGAAAAGCGGGTTGGAGATGGCACAGACTTTATGGTATGCTACACTAGACACTCCAGGCTGCAGAAGTGTTTCAGAAATTTGCGTGGCGGCCGCCCCCAGCTAATTTTGTGCCGCCCCAGCCTGATTTCACTCTGCCCCCAGCTGTATGGATGTTATTGTAACTGCAGTTGCAGCGTTGCGCCACTACAGGGGCGCTGTATCACCAGCAGTGCACCGAAAAGCACTAAAACAGCTGCAGAAAAAGATCAAAAATAGCTTTTCTAGCTAGTTACATATCTATGGTTGCTGCTATTGACGTATTGATTTTCCCCCAGGCTCTTCCATATCAGAGCAGGGCTGCACAGTGGTATGAAAACAACAGTCTGTGTGCGTTTGTCTGTTTTTAAACGTAGCACTGGTGCAACATCTTTAAATTACTATTTCCCAGGACTTTATTGAACAAAAGTAAGTTACGTGTAAGAAAAATGCATTTTACTGGTGCACAGTGTGGTCATCTGGATGCAGTGGAGGAAAATAAAGGAACCAGCAAAGGCAGAACCGGTCCAAAGTTTGGGATCAAAAGTGGAGCTACACTCAGATTGGCTAACGCTAAAGCTAACGGGTATCAGTCTCACGATCAAGTGGCGCACAGAAAAATATACGATGATGGTAAAACTAAGAAAGACTAAACTCTACAAGCGAATGAAAAGTCCCCACCCTCCTGTTTATTTTGCATCCTGCAGCGCTACGGATCAGAACCGCTGCAGATACGAGTCGCATTACTGCTACAAGTCAGCTCCACACACAGGAGCAGGAAGTAAGGCAAGCAGTTGTAGTATATAACTCACACACGCTTCTATCTTTGAACATAATTTAAACTGGATTATTGCCAACCCGTACATAATAGACATGCCACCGTTACATTGTTAGCAGCTGTTCAAAATCTAGCTTGTTTGCAGATTCGCTATAACAGCTTTAAATGATGAAAACTCACCAAAAGCCTTTGAGACGTCTCCCGGACAAGTGCACCCCCCATCCTGTGTGAGAAAAGAAAGGAAAAAATCTGAATGCAAATAAATGTTCTTTTAAAATGGCCTGTATTTGATAAAGCACTTTCTAGAGTCCTAGAACCCCCCAAAGCATCTTACAACACAAGTCATTCATTCACCCACACACATTCACGCCTGGGCGGTGATGAGCTACAGCTGCCCTGGGGCGCTCTGACGGAGGCGAAGCCAGCCAAGCACAGGCGCCATCAGTCCCTCCGACCACCACCAGCAGGCAAGGCGGGTTAAGAGTCTTGCCCAAGGACACAACAGCAGGATCGAACGTGCAACCCTTTGGTTCCTGGACAACCCGCTCTACCTCCTGAACTGCTGCTGCCCATCACTTCAACAAGTGCACATTTTCTACTGCATTGTTTTAGGAGACTCACAGAGATGATGTGGCCGCCCAGGCCGTGGGCCGCGTCGGCGCACTCGATCACGGCGCTGAGCTGAGGGTAGCCCACTCCAGTCTTCTTACGGGTCGTACACACCGAGCCTGAAGAGGAAGAGTTCTATGAGATTAAAAATGTTCACAAACATCCCATGGGATGAATGACCCCGGGTTACAACAGGGTAACTGTCTACGTCTTTATCTAGTAGATTCCTAAAAGCCTGAGGGTCAAATCCTAGATGTGTCTTCTGCCCTCCAGTGGAGGATCTAAGTATTACACATAAGTAACAAGTTTATTGTTATTTAATTACACAGTAAAATCTACTTCTTCATGATTACTAATATTCAATTAGTAGTTAAATAAAAAAAATCTACATTTCTGATTTTTTTAAATTATATTCCAGATGTCAAGCTAGTATAATAGAGTTTCTGTGGGGAACTGAAGTCTGATCACCTGGTCCGATACCAACTTTGATGATGTCAGCGCCGGCGAGGATCAGCTCCTCCACCATCTCTCCAGTCACCACGTTTCCTGCCTGAGCAACACGAGAATACAAAGGTTTCCAGGTATTTTTCCGCCCCACACACTCCAGTTAAAAGGTATTAGCAGGCATTTACTGACCATTATGGTGTGTGAGGGAAACCTCTGCCGAACGTCTCTGACGAAGTGAACAAAGTGTTCCGAGTAGCCATTCGCCACATCGACGCAGACGTACCTCAGCTGAGGCACGGCCTCCAAGATGGCCGAGATTTTCTCAAAGTCCCCGTCTCCAGTTCCAGTGCTGATGGCTACGCTCTGGGGAAAGGGAAAACACAGGAAAGAAAGTCCACTATAAGGAATTAGAAGAAAAGAACTTGTCAAAATTGAAAATTACGGAATGACTTGCTTACCTCCAGACAGTCGGGATGCTTTTTCGCAAACTCCAACCAGTCATCAACGCTGTAATGTTTGTGGATGGCAGTAAAGACCGAGAACTAGTGGAAACAAACCCAAAACATCAGCTTGTGTTGATCCTTCTCATTAAAATGCTGCAGAAAATAATACCAGCATATCTGACGGTGTGTCTTACAGAAACAAAGATCTTAACCAACCTGATGCAGAGCCAGAGCCATCTCAAATGTCCCCACGGTGTCCATGTTGGCAGCTATGATGGGAATCCCCCTGTAACTGCCCTTTGAGTTCCTGAACGTGAAGCTCCTCATCAGGTCCACCTGAAGAAGTGCAGCACAGCGACGCCTCAGTGTGTTTGTAATAATCAGGTTGGTGTAGGAGTAAATGCTGAAAACCTTTCCACACAGCCCCCAATTGGCCATCTACACTCATATACGGGTCTTGTAGCACCGCCTATCTGGTAAAAACACTTCCGCCCTTCAACTGCGCGATCCCGGCCAGGGGTGCGAGTGCGTAGGGCGTCCCGATTCTCAAGTGCAGAAGTTGATCACGCCCCTTTTGCACCTTTGATCTGCACCTCACCCAAGTCTGCATTGATGTGGACTTGGGTGAAGGGTATTACCCACAATTTATTGCTGCAGGAGAAAAGGCTCAAGTTCCTTTTCTGAAAATATGTCATTTCTAATGAAATTAGGTTGTTTTAGGACGATGAGTGAATTGTGGGTAATACCCTTCACCTAAGTCTGCATTGGGGTGTGATCAAGCTCCGCCCTTGAGAATCGGGACACCTTATCGGTGTCTTGATTCTCAACCCTGGTCTGGATCGCGTAATTGAAGGGCGGAAGAGTGAAAGTGCGAGTATTGGGATTGGGACGAAGCCTTACTGCACACTTTGTCTAAGAGCACTTTGCTGAAAACAACAAGGCGCGTATCGGGACTGGACCATAGGCATGAATACATAGATGCACCATTGTGCGCTGGAGAGCGTAACAGCGTTGATGTGTGTTCCAAGTGAATTAGGATGCATTTATTACACACTTGTACAAAATTTGGAGTAATTTAAAGCAGCTTTAGACCTTTAATCTGGTATCAAGCTCTTTTTTCTCCCTTTTCCCAGATTTAAACAAAGATTTTTTATTATTAACGGGGAAAAAGGATGCACACCCAGAACTGATTACTGCCACATCTGTTCCCTAAAATAAGTTAGACACTGTGCCGACATCCAAAGAAATTCAGGATCAAGTGATAAAGAAATAATTTAGATAAAGGTTATGAACCCCTGTCCTAAGTTTTGGGACTCCAGCAAACCACAAATGGTGAAAATGGAGCGGCGGCTAACCGGCCCATGGAAAAGTAAGTAATCAGGAAGTGGGCAAAGACTTTTTTACACCACAGTAGCTGAAGAGGGGAAACACTGACAGACCAGGAAAGTCTGAAGAGGAAAGGGTTACCCACCTCACTCCTGGACTTGAGTGTGCTCCGCTTTGGTCTGAGGAGGACATCCTTGAAGTCCAGCTTGATGTCATTCTCAATGCGAGGCATTTTGGAAGCAGGATGCAACAGAAGAGCAAAGACGACCTAGTGTGGCGTGGATCAGCTGCTTCTTTAAGGAGGTTCTGTCTGTAAAAGAGAAAGAGACAGATGTATTTTCACAAAACGCCTTTTTTTTATCATAGTTATTTAAACTCATTTAAAGTCGGACAAGATGCAAGCTGATGTAAATCAAATCTGGTAGGAACATTTAGGTTGTGGATCAATAAGCTAAAATTACTACGCACATTTCTTCCTTTAAAACCCATTTAAGCTACAATAGCTAAGTTGTGGTGATGTTTTTAAGCTTGCCAGTGGTTTCCACATGTGTGGAGATCCGCGCTGCATTTTCTACTCCTATGTCAACTTTCAAGGTTGCACTAGTTTACAGTAAAACACTGCGTTCTTATTTATTAGAGCAGCTGTGCATTTATTTAAACCCTATTGTTTTAAACAATAAAACAAACACGTTTAGTGAAAAAGTAAACATTTACCGTTGGAAAAGTACGATGTGTTTTTTACCGAAGCTGCCTTCTCGACTTCCTCTCGCGCGGGAAGTTTTACGGCGGCGGACACTAACTGACGGCTGCCTTGTAGTCTTTTAAGGACGCTAGCTTGAAATCGACACGCAGATAAAGACTACAAATACCAGAACTGGCTTTACGTTACGTTGCGCCAATGTCGTTAATATATTTGATGATATAAGCTAACACATCTAAATTTACTTATGCTGACGAGGTACGTACGGTAATTTTCGACGACTTTAAATAATTTCAGAGCTTTCTTTTTCGCGTTAAATTGAGTGAATTGAACCCGAAACGAGTTAGGCAGAACAGTCGACCGCACGGACAGTGTGTCGGTAGGATTAAACGAAAAGCACAGGAAACATTCACTGAATTTCTGAGATAATTAGATCTTCTACGACATTTTTAAGGTTTCGCTTCGTAACAAGCTTAAACTGTAGATTTATTGAACACACCACAGTATAAGTAACTCTGCTTTCGAGATTTTCACAACAATTAAACGAAGATGTTGATTAAAGTGAAGGTAAGTCATATAAAACATAACGATAAGCCTACTGCAGCTTTACAGGAAGACGGTATTAACTTTAAAATGTCTTTATTACAGACGTTAACTGGCAAGGAGATAGAGATTGACATAGAGCCCACAGATAAGGTATATTTATACATATTTATATCCACATGGCTGTTTAACTCCTTTATATTACTGAGCATTGTGTTTACATTCAAACTCCCATCCAGGTGGAGAGAATTAAAGAAAGGGTGGAGGAGAAAGAAGGAATCCCTCCCCAACAACAGAGGCTGATCTACAGTGGGAAACAGATGTGAGATCATGATGCATGTCCCCTAATAAATTATAATGTTTTATTAACCCTCTGGAGGCAGGTGTTGCAGATTTGCAACGTTAAAACCTACCTACCTGGTTACTCCACCTACGCATTTCATGAGCATTTTTTTAACTCAGAAGTACCCCTGAAGGACTTAGTTGTTCGTCCTTTTATCAAAACTTGTTTTGAGCCTGAGAGGGTTAAACCTTTAAAACACCATCTGGACAGCAGCGGGTCCTTAAAAAGTCTTAAATTAGCTTTTCCAAATTTAAGGCCTTAAAAATGACAAATAATCCTTAAATACAGTTTCCAAAGGTCTTAAATTACCAAAGACCCAATAAGCAAGATTCTTTTATTTCTATAAAAATTTCGTAAATTTCTAGTTATTGTTCAGCATTTCTTGTGTATGATATTGGCGTAAGCTGAACCGTACACATTCAGTTGGTTGTGAAAGGGGGCTATTTTTAGATGAGCACGTTAGCTGGTTAAGCTAGTGGGAGCTTGCGCCATGGGGAAGTGCAAGTTTAATGTTAACTGGATGGCTAATCCCACGTTCGCGACGTGGTTAGCACCGGTTCCAGGCAATAGCTGGAAATTATAGCTTAAATTTCATTTTAAAAAGTTGCTTAAATTTGGTCAAAGTGGCCTTAAAAAAGGTCTTAAAAAGTCTTAAATTTGGCTCCCTTAAACCTGCAGATACCCTGTATTTATCTAGTCAGTAAGCAAAGCTTCTCGGGTTGAAAGTTTATATTTGGTTGATCATCCATCCATTGTCTATACCCGCATATCCATGCAGGGTCACAGGGGGCTGGTACTTGTCTACAGCAGTCTCTGGGCAAACAGGCGGGTACACAGGTTTCCAGTCCATCACAGCGCAACACAGAGCCACACATGACAAACAACCATACACACACCTAGGGACAATTTAAAAAGACTAATCTACCTGAAAGTCATATTTTTCGACTGTAGGAGGAAACCATCAATATATATACTGGACAATTCATTTCCATAGGCTCCAATATCACGTTTTTGAGGGGAAATGGGAGGTGGCCACCACCGCCATTTTGACCGTGTCACAGGTTCCGTCAAGCCCAGACAATTCCACAAAAGGGAAGAGAGGTGGAGCTGAGGGTGGGGCTGTAAGGCTGGGATCAACTGACGACACCCGGTCGAACTAGCTACAAGCTAACCTGAAGCTAACCCAAAGCTAATGCGGAGGTGGGAGCTAAGCTAACGGAGGTAGCAACCTAGCTACAACCGGAGTTAACTGTGCACAACACCAGAGCTTCTGAGTCAGATATACGCCGGGCTGACCACTGGGTAAAACCGGGTGGAAAGGTTTCCATCCCAGAGCTCCACAAGCAGGCAGCCCGCGCAGCAGACAGGAGCTGCGGGGAGGGGAGAACGGGTGGAAAACATCGGTCTCCCGAGAGCTCCACAAGCCGATAGTCGGAACCCAGCTCCACCAACATGTTATATTTCAACCCATTTTCTAAAGTGCAGCATTATGTTAAATGCACTGGGTTTTACCCTATTACATTTAAATTTCATGGTTAAACAGTACATGTTAAAATGTAAGCTCAGCTCGGCAGTGACCTAAAATACATAAATATAATTTTACTTACCGAAAAAAATGAAATGGAGACTCCTTGGACGCTCTATTAGTGCAATTAATGCCACAGCAAGTCATTTTGTCCAACAATTACACAAATAATATCCAAAAAAGAATACACAAATGCTACAACTACTGGTCTAAGGTGAGAGACTGAAAATGGCGGAACAGTTTTCAGGCAAGGCCGAGGCTCAGACTGAGGCCTTTCCACGGAGCTAGCTCTGCGGTCACGTGGGTCTGATGCTCATAAATTATTCAAATTTTTAGGCTTTTAATAGAGCTCCGGACGTCACGTGACTCTCAGAGTAGATGCCATGTTGGTAGGCAACAAAGGTAAACAAAATGAACGGGATCGGCATGGATTTTACTCTGTCAGAGTTTACTTCACACTTTAAACCAAAGAAATCGTTTTATATAGTCAGAAATTAAATAGACTAAACATCTCCGACCCTTACCGTGCCCCTGGGATACTTTTTAAAAATGCCAGAAGCTGTCGGAGCGGACTTCTTACCGGACCTAGCCGGGGAACCCTTTGGGATTCCCCCGGAGGAGCTGGCCCAAGTGGCTGGGGAGAGGGAAGTCTGGGCCTCTTGACGCTACAGCCCCAGCAACCCGACTCCGGATACGCGGATGAAAATGGATGGATGGACAAATAACATAGATTTACATGTAAGTAGTTTAAATAGAGTGCTGTGCTGTTTGAATGTATAAACTGAACGCCAAGAGAAATCACTAGTTTGATTTTTTCCGTGAATAAAATAAAAATGTCAGGCAGGAGCGTCTCATGATCTGTCTGAGATCTGTCTCGGTGAGACAGATAATAGCAATCCAAAGTGCTTTTCATGTGTGATCTGACAATTGATCAACCATTGCTTAAAAATTAAATACAGCTTAGCGGGTTAATTGCTGTGATCCTAAAACACGTAAACGGCAGCACGCAGAACTCACGAGACAACGTTTTACGTGATGTTTACTTGTTGCTATGAGTAATAAGACGGAAAAAGCCACGCCAAAATAAGTTTAGGAAGCCCACTAAGAATCGTAATAAAAGCATTTAAAATAAATACCATACACAGTTGAGGAAACGTTGGTTTAAGTACCTGATATGAAGTGGTCGCTGCATGAGTGAAAACCTTTACTCTCGGGATCCCAGTTTCATTTTAGCCCGGTCACTAGCGCGTTTCATTACAATGATCCAACGTTTGCGGCACTCCGGATCTTGGGGAATCCTGTATATGGCTCATTCCTTATGTCGTCCGCGTCTGTTCTGCATCCTGGGGCACAACAGGAATCTACCATATTTCCTGTCTGATTGAGTTTTCTGACAATAACAAATAGTCCAGCTGCGGGCTTCTGCCTGCCAATATGGCGCCGTTTCGATTTGAACTGTTGCATGCCGGGAGAAGTGACGTCAACTCCCGGAGCTCTATACACTTAAACAGAAGAGTGAGAAAAAAATTCACCCCCCTCAGAGTTGTCATGAGTGTTAACTAGATCATTTAAACCAAAAACATGTTTTGGTACCAGGCTGTAAACACGTTTATTTCTGCTGTGAAATTGGTATTTTTAACATGGGAGTCAATGAGGATTTGCTCGCTTCTGACACCAGCCCCTAGTGGATGAGGGTGGAACAGCATTTTATTTCACTTCCGCATTGGCCTCAATTTCTGTCCCGCATTGTGGGGGCTTGGAGGAAACCCAGGGAGAACATGCAAATTCCTTGATTTTATGGCTTGTAGGGATGTAAGAAAATATCAATATGGCAATATATCACAATATATTTTTCCTGCAATATTATAATCGATATTCAAAAGCCGTGTATGGAATTTTTGGAAGAATTTACATACTAATTATTTGTGTTTTGTCTTTTCTTTTGGTACAGTTCAAACACTGACCTCTAGTCAGCAGTAGTGTGCAATGGGTTTTGTTTCCACCACTGAAATGTAAATCCCTCTATTATGGTTCAGATTCCTCATGTTAAACATGTTACATATCAGTTTGGACTGTTTATTGAATTTTCCTGCAGTAATTCCAGTCTAAAAAAATTCACCAACATCATCTGGCTGAATGTATCACGATATATTGTGATACATTGTACCGCCTCCCCTGTATCGTTTACGTATCGTATCGCCAGAATTTCACCAATACACATCCCTAGAGGCTGGGACCTTCTTGCTGCAAGGCAAGAGCTCTAACCATTGCTCCACTGTGCAGCCCCTTGGTTGATCATATTTAATATTATTTAGCTTTTAGAAATAATGTATTTATTAATGATTAATTAATTAATCTGGTGAAGCGTTGTGTCAGATGTGTGTGGTATCAACTCACCTGCCTTCATTTAATGTTTGACTTTTTAATAATTCTTGTTTTCTATTTATGCAACAATAATACCACTACTACTAAATAATTGTCAATTTTTAATGCTTGTGTGGGAAAAAAAACACTGAAAACAATTTCACTTGTCTAAGCAATAGTAATTCTGATCGAAAAGCAACAGTTTTTCACAAAATAAAAATAAATTTGCAGGCAGATTTTTCTTTCTTCAAGTTGAACAATATTTTAGTTTTAAAAGAAAAATAATTAAAAATACATGATTGATTAGAGTAGAATAGACTTTATTGATCCCACAGTGGGAAAATTCACTCGTTACAGCAGCACATACACTTAAGAGAATAGTTTGAAGAAAAATAATAACAAAGGTCATAAAGAGTCATATACCTCTCTACGTGGTCTTAATTATTTGCTTTAATGTTTTCTAATTGAAATATGGTAAAGATGTCACCAAACAAGAAAACACAGACATCATAACAGCATTTTACAAAATCATGGATTCATTTTCTACTATTTATTTTTATTTTATTTTTTGTCAATTGTAGGAATGATGAGAAAACAGCAGCGGACTATAAGATCCAGGGAGGCTCAGTTCTGCACCTGGTACTTGCCCTGAGAGGAGGATGCCTGTTCTGCTGAACGCTTGACCTGCTACAACATAAAATTAAATAAAAATACGCTGAATGTGATACGATGCCTGCAAACGTCCCAGAGTTTTTTAAATAAGTTTCACAATCATCTGGTGACTCTGAAGACAACACAGAGCCTCTAGTAGAAACCCCTCAAATGGTTTCTGCTTTGATCTCCACCTTTCTTTTGCAATTAACAGATTTTACTGTAAAGTTTTATGTTTCAAAGGCAAGAAAACAAGCTCCAAATGCAGAAAGGCTACATTAGCAAACAGTTCTTTAATGTTCTTTTTTCTCTGTGTGAATCAAAACTGAGATGTTTAAAGTTCTGCTTGAGTGTAGAGTTTAAAGTAAAGGGGACACATTTGTAATTTACAAATGAATTTTACATTCGTATGTGTTCTGTCTCACAGAAGTTACTCCAAGTGTTAGAAGCACTGATCAATGTTAGATCAGTAAAGGAAATTATTTAAAATATTATTTCCACATTGCTGAGTTGTTTTCATATTGTTGATATGCTCCTTGTCTCAGCTCCTTGGCACCCAGCTGTTCAGTTTACAGACATGTTGCTCATTTTTACACCATTTCTGAAGGTCTGATGACCTTTTTGCTGAGTCTACCTGTATGAACTATCCTCTCAATGTGTTCAGTATAATGTGACTTATTTATGTTTAAGTTGAATAAAACTGATGCTAATAAGGCTTCCTGTTAATTGTTTTGGATTAAAGATTTGAAACCTAAAACCACCTGTGCTCGTTTTATTTATCACACTAACGATGAGTCGTTTACATCTTACTTATGAACCATAAAATGTGAGATTCCATAGAAATATGAAATATCAGTCTGATGGCTCTTTGAATATTTTAACCAGAAGATCAGAACTTTTTATTGCAGGGATTAAGCGACACTTCGTATTAACTCCAAGGAAAAAGAGTCAGGTTTATAATAGTTAAGAAATGTATCTCTACACAATTTAAACAAGACTAACTTTAAACACTCTGTGTACTGATGGACTAAGATGGAGTGAGACGTGATGAATGATGATGGTGTGTGTGTGTGGAGTGTTATTCAGAACCAGCGGATCCAGACAAGCATTTAGTTCTGAGTGGGAGTGAATGTTTCGCTCTAAACTTTAGTAGGAGATTTATAACACACATGAAACGCCATCTGTCGGTCTACGTACCCCAGGGGAAGCCTCCATTCAGATTCCCTTAAGGGGTCGTGAGGTTCAGCTTTTATTCTGAAGGAACCGTTGCGGTCAGGTGTAACTTGCAACAGATTTTATCCAGCTTGTCGAGATTCTTTCGGCTGAAGAGAAAGTCCGGATGGCCTGTCCGAGACTTCTCTAGAACGCTTTGAACTGAACTAAACGTGACATGGGATAGTTTTTATAATTGTCTTATTTTGGTTTACTGGCGAATCAGAATTTGACATGCAAAAGAGGGTTTATACAAACACCACAGAAAACCACGCCTCGCATCAGAAACAAAGGTTCTGATTGGATCAGACAAAAGGAAATGTGTCATGTGACTTTAGCATTACTCTGTGTCATTGTGTCTAGTGCAAATGTCCAGGATTATAATTACTTGTAAAATACTACTGATCACAGGATTATAATATCAAGTAATAACATTGTCATTTCACAGATTGATTGAACATTGGGCTCACATTATTATTGGTAATAACAAAGTTTTTGATTATGTATTTATCAAAATAGTTCTCCATCTTGTCTTGAGCTGTAAAGAGGTGACGCAGTTCAGATGAGCAGAGTGCATGAAAGGCATTGGCCACTATCTCATGTAGATTAGGCTGTCAGAGACTTCATGTCTCCACTTCAGCAGATGAGTGGAGCATGACCTTTAGGTCAAAAACAGGACATTTCATGACGCTACAACACTATAACAACAAATATTTATATTTATGTGTTCAAATGAAATAGAATAGACATGCAATACATTTTTAAAAATAGCTTTTCAGTAAAACTAGACAGTTTATCATTCTAACACTTCTGGTTTCTCAAGGGGGTTCCACTGGGGTCTATTCTGGGACTGCTGTTATTTTGCTTATAGGCAACAAAGCTTTCATAATCAAATGTGATGATGATGATGATGAAAGCTTGTTTTTAGCTTGAAAGTATGCAAAAATAGTGAAGGTTCCAGATCAGTGATGTAGAGTTGGATAATTTAGATTCTAATGTCATGTAATGTTTCTCGAGATTTCTATATTATTCTTAATTGTGGAATTATTTGTCATCTTTAAATAAAAACTGAGGACGAAACACTAATTGTTCCAAAAACTCAATGTAAAAAGAAATAAATGATCATGTCACATTGCCCAGACACAAAAAGTCACCACCTGGATTTAACTATGCAAAAAGGTGGGAGCCTCCTATTGGTTAATTACTGCATGGATGATTATGGATGATGTTATTTAACCCAAATGAGCTGCTTCTCATGTCTTAAGAGAACTGTCCAATGCATTATTATTAACTAGTCTGATGAGTCCAGATGGACCCTGTTCCAGAGTGATGGCGCATCAGGGTAAGAAGAGGCAGATGAAATGATGCACCCATCATGCCTATAGTCCTAGTGGGTTGCTGGGGGGATCCTAGAGGGATCTGGGGTTGCTGCAGTTGGTCAGTTCTAGGTTCAGCAACAGGATGTGCTCCAAGAATGAGGTCAGCTGACTACCTGAATATACTGAATGACCAGGTTATTCCATCTTCCCTGGTGGCACGGGCATCCTCCAAGATAACAATGCCAGGATTCATCAGGCTCAAATAGTGAAAGAGTGGTTCAGGAAGTATGAGACATCATTTTCACACATGGATCGGCCACCACAGAGTCCAGACCTTAACCCCATTGAGAATCTTTGGATGTGCTGGAGAAGGCTTTGTGCAGCGTTCAGACTCTACCATCATCAATGCAAGATCTTGGTGGAACATTAATGCAACACTGGATGGAAATAAATCGTGTGACTTTGCTTATCGAAACAACGCCACAGCGAACGTGTGCCGTGATCAAAGCTAAAGGCAGTCCAATGAAATATTAGAGAGAGTGACCTTTTATGGCAACCTTTGTTTGGCGGGGCGGTGTAAGTGAGCTGTTTCTATAAATCAGGCTTCAAAACAGTGTTTTTTGTTTAAATTTTATTAACCAAGACAACATTGAGTTTGTGACATTATTAAAACTAAATGCACAATAACCGCTCAGGTCCTAAACACACCACTTGTTTACAAAACCCTGTTCCCCTTACAGCTTCAACAAATTACACACAATACTGGCCAAACCTTTATTACATCTCATTTATCTGACACTTGTCATCACTCCTGTAGGACTGAGACTCCCAAGGAAGAAATCTCTTACAGGTCTGATAGTTTGGTAACGGTCTCATTCACCTGTTGTCATGGCAGCATGCAGAAGGAGCAGGCAGTGACGATGCCCTAAGACACTTTGGGGAAAACTCAAGAGTACGGGGTGTGTGTTTTTACTTCATATTTTATGCAGACAATCCGATAAGTTCCTAATGTGAAGTAAGACAATGTAAAGTGATGTGTTTCTTCAAAATGAGGTCGTAAAACATCTGTTTACTTGTTAAAATGACTGATTGTTCATAAATCTCCATAAAACCCCTCTTAAAACATTTGAACTGTCACTTTGGACAGCGTGTTCAGGTTCTGCTGGCACCTGTAGTAATATTGCACAAAAAAAAATCCTAATTTAAAAAATAAATCTTTTTTAAATGTGCAAATGGGGAGATTTAAACACAACTATCAATAAACGAAACAACAAAAAACCTCTCACCACTCACATATTAGCAATGCAAAGTTGAGAAAAATCATTGAATCTAGAGGTTAAGTGTAGTGCTGCTTTTTAATATAGTTTTGACAAAATGGAAAATTTAGAGAAACGTTCGACCATATCTCAACATCTGTCGAAAAAACCTCACTCCTACAGTCGCACCAAAAAATACTGGGATTCTAATTAAGGCAAGTAAACAAACATTGTGCAATGTTTTGGTTGCCGTAAGAGAGTCAGGATATGACGTTTAACTCTCAGGCGTTACGTTTCTGCAGCTTAACGAGTGAAAACGAAAGTCAAAAAGGCGTTGGAAAACAATCTCAATTAAATTTAACATGATAGAAAAAATAAGAAAGATAATTACACGAGCAAAGAAAATGATATTTAAAAAGACACATCGTGGAGCCGCGTGACAAAACAATAAACAAATCATGTAATAAAAAATGTAAAAGGATTTTACGTGTCGACAATCATAAAATGCAGCTTTGGTGTATTAAAATGAAAATTTCAAAATAAGATAGACAAAACCATTTTGAACATCACAATTTTTGTAAAAAAAAAAAAAAGAAAATAAATAAAAAAAGATTACATTTTATTCATCGAAGCAGAAATGAATTAAAAGGATGAACGTGCGTGCTGATGAATGAACCGAGGACCTGGAAGGTGCTAATTATTGCACTTTTAATGGACCCCAGATTGAGTCGTGTTACTTAAACGTGCTTTTACATTTTTTACAGTACATCACTGATTGAAAAGACACTTCAAATAAAGTTTAAGACACAGTGTTGATCAGTACAACCTGTGGGGGTGTTTGCACGTGTGGGTCCCCTCGTGAGCATGAATGTATCTGTGGATGTTTATTCTGAGGGAGCAGGGACGATGAAGAGTTTGTTTTAGCAATCTTCTGATTTGTGGTTGTCCTCCTTTGACAGAGGAGACATGGCCTCCTTCATTTCATCTCCACCCCCACTGCCGGTCTCAGCTGGATACACAACCACGCACAACTTCTGACCCAAGTACGTCATTTTATCTAGAAATGGAGGGACAAAAAGAGTCAGCAAAGGTGCAAGTAAAAAACAATCAAGTTCAAAGTTCAAATAAAGCTTATCTCCTCCTAGCTTCTCATTAAGAACACAACCATGACAATAAAAATCCCAGTTTTCCCATGACATTCCCAAAAATCTTGGCTTTTGTGCTCACTTACCGACGAAGGCATCAACGCATTTTGGCTTGTTGTCCCAGTAGACTCCCAGGAAGTAGACGGGCACGCCGGTGAGCATGATGGCCAGGCCGATGCCACACACCACGGGCTCAGAGTAAAGGGAGAAGATGAGCAGGAAGGCCCAGAAGATGAGGTAAATAACCGGCCAAATCAGGCTGATCTGGATTGAGGAAAAACAAAAACATTTAAAATTCAAATACTCAGAAGAACTATTGAGGGCTGATACCAATTTCAGAACATTTTAGCATCTCTGACTTGTTGATTTGGGGTTATTCAAACCACCAGATAGTTCCCGAGCGCAGCCACAGCTGCCGACCCTAACCCAAACATCCATAATAATGATTTGTGATCTTGTTTGTTATATCCTGTACACTGATAACTGAAATCAAAAGAAAACAGAGAAACATCTTAAATCACACAAGGCACCGCATGAACATACCCTGATCGGCCGGTACATGTCGGGCTCTTTGATCCGCAGGACGATCTGCCCGGCGACAGTGACTCCGTAGAAGAGGTAGTTGATGAAGCCCACGTAGTTGATGAGGGTGTACATGTCACTGGTGCAAAGCATGAGCAGGGTGGAAAAACACTGAGGAGCAAACATGGTAACGGTGTGAGATGATTCAGTTGAGATTTAGACCAAGTGTTGTCGATGAGAGCAGGACTCACGGTGAAGAGCAGAGCAGGGATGGGTGTGCAGCGTTTCACATGAATCATGGCCAGCAGACTGGGGAGATGGCCCTCCCTGGCTCCGGCAAAGAACAAGCTGCCAGTGGATGCACAAGCCAGATTACACCAGGAGCAAAAGGTGTACACACATGATGTGAAAATCATATGAATCAGAATTCTGACCACCAGGAGTGGACTGGGACCAAAATTCGGCCCTGGCGTTTTTACGAATCGTCGGCCCTCCCCATTGGGAGAGCGGTGGGGGTGGGGGTCGTTGCTGCCTGCTGACTCGTCTCTAGGCCGAATGTGAAATCTAATATGGACTGGGACTGTTAAATTACAAGCAGGGCCAGACCGCTGTGACCGGGAGCCCTGGCCTTCCAGATCAGCTCATTCTCCACGGGCGGAGATCAGCGGGACATTAGCTACATGCTAACGCGGTAAAACAACTCCTACGTCATCGCTCTACCGTGTTTTTCTTGCTAAAAATGCCTGGAAAAACTCTGTTAGCTTCAGGTTACCATGTAGCTAATGTTCTGCAGATTACCAACTGTGGAGCAGTGTCGGCCCAAACTGGGCAAGCAGCCCACTTGGCTAAGCGACCCACCGGGACAGTGCCAGAATGCCAGATAGGCCAGACCACCCCTGATGACCACTGAGGAGACACTGGTACAGTCTCTTAGATAACTAGTGCTTCTTAGCAAGCACTGATAACATGAGGTCTGGAATGAAGTGTCTGCTTTTCTGCTCACCGTGAGGAGGTGAAGAGCGATCCGTTGACACCCCCAAAGGTGGAGAGAGCCACGGAGATGGGCATGATCCACGCCATGACTCCCAAGAGCTTCTCACCAAATGTCTGGATGAGATGATGAAGATCAGAGATTTGACAGGTATCAACGGTTTCACATGAGCTCACTAGAGGGCGACATTCACTCAAAATGTCTGTTTGGGGTTGAAAGGAGCTACACGACTCACCACAGCAACGGCGTTGGAGGCAAGCAGCTCCTGAGGGCTCATGGCGGTGACGTAAGCGATGTTGGCGAAGACGTAGACGAAGGTGACAAGGGGGATGGAGATGTAGATGGCTCGTGGAAGATTCCTTTGAAGATACAATGACACAAGGATGATCAAACTAAGAAAAGTGTTTTCAAATCCAGGGGCAGGGGATTATGCCTAGATTAGGACACTGATCAGTATTTTTGGTTAGACTTTAGGAATGAGAACATTACACCCAAAAAACCCAGACTAAATGTCAAAAACAAAAGGATTAAGGATTAAACGAGGCAGCCTTGTTGGAATGTGACCACTAATCGCCAAAAACTGGCCACAAGTGGTTTCAAACCAGCCTACTCTTTTGTGGCATTTAGCACCAAATAAAGGCAGCTGTGGGTAAATGAGAAGCAGGCCTTACACATAAGGATCCACCAGCTCCTCTGTGACGTAGTTTAGAAAATTCCAGCCCCCATAGGCGAAGGAGCCTTGTAGGAAAGCCAATGCTATCAAACCCACATCGTAGTCTTGGAAGGGCTCGAAGGCATTGGAGGGCTCCAACCAGTAAAAGTTTCCTGCAGGTGAAGGGGACAACATCAGAAAAGCCCTCCTAAACGTTACCCGTGTTACATTAGCATGGCCTCCCGCAGGTAACCGGCCTGCTGTTGATCATTTATCTCCGATCGTATAAACTTGTTTTGCTGTCGGGGTAAACAGACTGTTTTCTATTAAGGTCTGGGCTGGATGGGAGGAACTCCAGCTGAAAATCCTCATCCAGCAAGATCAGTGGGTTTAAACTCTTCTGTGGAACAACTCCTGAGGAAACCTCGTTAAAACATTTACACCCCCAAAAAAATCCCTGCAGTTCGCCTCAATCCCAGAGGATTGAACATATCTGCCAAGATTCCTTCTTGAGATGTGTTTATCCAACTGAACAAAGTGCCTGTCCATCTTGTCCATCTACCTGTCTCACGTGTCTCGTTTCTGTCCTAAAACCAACCAATGAGCTCTTCAAACACTGAAATGCAGTCTGTTGTTTCAGGGGACAATTCCTGTGGCCTCTATAATAACTGGCCTTCAGCCATGTTTGCACGGACCCCCCCAGTTGTGCTGACATGAGCAATGTGAGTTTTAACCTAAAGGAACTCGTCGACCTCTATAGCAGATGCTTGGGGTTCGTACGGTCCAAGACCACTGAGGATGACCGCGTTGGCCACAGGACTGTGTGTGTGTTGAGTTGTTACTTCACACACTCACACAAATGAACCACCAGACCTGTGGACCTATAGCACAGATGGCTTACCCTTGCAGATCTGCACGATGCCCATGATGATGATGAGAGCAAGAGCCAGCAGCTTGCCAGCGGTAAAGATGTCCTGCACTCTGGTGGCCCACCTCACGCTGGCGCAATTAATCCATGTCAGCAGCACTAAACGAGCAAACAGAAAATTATTCGCTTAAATTAAAAAATAAAAAATAAAAACGTTTACTTTCACAACAAGAAAACACATTTTTATTGGATAGTAAGTTTTAGTCTCGGGTTGTTTGTCTAAAATACGTAGAAAATGAAATGAGAGTTGTTGTTTTTTTCACTTTTGCAGAAAGTGAAAAAATGAAAGTGTTCCTTTTTGGTCAGGATCAAAATCAGCAACGTTATGTGTAGATTTAATAACAATGAGGTCATAAATGATGCAAGCTCTGCTTAAACCCAGTGACGTGTGCACCACTTGGACAGACGCAGAACACCGAAAACTGCTTCTTACAAATTTAGATTTATTCTTGTGTGCTGAGTAACGCAGAACAGCGGGTTCAGACCAGTAGGGTGCCATCAAAAGAGCCGCCTGTTGTCCTCTGCTGGGTGTTATTCATCTGATTAAATAAGTCTGAGCTGCCACTGCAGGGAACAAACAGATGCACTTGAGCAGACATGCAGGAGCACATGGTGTGTTCGAAGCAAAACAAGAGGAGGGCACAGAGAGACATGCACGCTGGGTATGATTGTAGCTGTGGTTGAGTGGTTTGAGGGGGTGTGTGTATGTGTGTGTGTGTGTGTGTGTGTGTGTGTGTGTGTGTGTGTGTGTGTGCGTGTGTGCGTGTGTGTGTATGTCTGCAGAGGAAAGACTATAAGTGTTTGGGTCTTTTCTGCTCCAAATAAAATTAAAGCTGTGGTCAACAAAAGGGGAACAAGTGGGAGACTGTAGAGACAGATTAGCCTGTGACTTCATTTATGCTCTGTAAACACACACACACACACACACACACACACACACACACACACACACACACACACACACACACACACACACACACACACACACACACACACACACACACACACACACACACACACTTGTCTTGCTATACTTGTAAGGACCATTCATTGACCTCTATGAATTTTGTATGACTGCACTATGTATAACCCGCACCCTAACGCTGACTTTAAAACCTAACTCACACCATACCTCTAACACCAACAAGAAGACAACAAGAGACAGGCTAAACATGCTCACTTTTTGGAAAAGTACACACACACACACACACACACACACACACACACACACACACACACACATATATATATATATATATATATATATATATATTAGAGGTGGGAAAAATGATCGATTCTAAGATGCATCGCGATTCAGCCGTGCACGATTCCGCATCGATGCAGCAACGTGACATAATGAGATTCTCTCCCTATGTCGGGGGTCGGCAACCGCGGCTCTGGAGCCGCATGCGGCTCTTCCATCCATCTGATGCGGCTCTCTGTGCTTGTAAAATAATGAATGGATATTTAAATAAAATGCTTTATATTTTACTGCATTAATTTTGCATCTGTATGCCAATTCTAAATGTAAAGATTGTCTGCGTAAACCTGAACAGCTCCAACCCGGTCTACTGTGTGACCGGGTTGACGCGTCACGCTTGTGCGTAATCATAAAGGCACATTCTGAGCTGACGAGGACGTGAGATTCTGGGATTCTCCTCAGCTCCTGGATGTGTCGCCACATTGGAGACAGAAACAAGCGCTATTCAGCCAAAGTTTCATAATCAGGGAGCATTTTCTAAGTGTCAAGTCTTGCTTCAGTCGGAGGAATCTGCATGCCCCCTGGTTGTGCGACGTGCTCCAAGCCCCTCTCCACAACTTCAGCTCGCTGTGCGCCGTACGTACGCGCTGACAGCGAGCTGCGCTGAGCTCCTTGTCCAGCTCAGATGGGAATCTTTTCTTGAGTGATTTAGCTACATCTGCGCGAAACGAATAAAATGTCAGTTCGTCTGCATGCGTCGGGGTAATTCTTTCTGTTCTTTCTCCGTCAAAATAAATAGTCAAAAACGGGAACTATCCGGTCAACACAACACAAGCCCTGCTTTTAACTGTTTTGTTTTCTTGTGAAAATAGTTAAATTTAACTTGATTAACACCAGAGCCAGGCGCACTGCGCCGTTATCTCCGTCACTGTAAATGAGGGAATAACAAATTGATCGGATCCTTTTCTGACCTTCCCCACCTACAAAGTTTAATTACAACAATCAAACGTGACAGAGCCTGGATTTGTATTCTGAACAGTCTAAACATGTTTTAAAAGAAACGTATGACAAAAGTGGCACCTGCTCAGTAAAACCACCAACAGGGTGAAAAATATCAAAATATTGTAGGCAGAGACGGGCTACAACTTCTGGATCCACTTTATATAAATTGTTTTATTGATTATCTTCTTATGAAAGATAACTCTGACGTACACGAGCGACCGGTACCGGCTGCTGTCTGAGGGTAGGCCCCGCCCACAACGCCGCGGCTGCTGCAGTGTTTTCTTTACTGTGGGAAACGGGTAATAATGGCTCTTTGATGGGAACAGGTTGCCGACCCCTGGTCTATGTCTATGTGAGGACAATAAAATGTTGAGGTATTACTTCTGGGGGCAGAGTTGCAATGACATGCGCACTGCGTTGTCCTAGAAGCAATTGGACAGGGATACAGGGCCAACATTACCAGTAATCAAAGATGTATCCGTTACATTTAAATCGGATGTCTGGGCTAATTTCGGTTTTGGGATCCTGGATGTGAAAGAATCACTTAACACAGTATTTGTTTACTATTTTTAAGTTCAGTAATATTCTATCTTAAAGCTGCTCTACCGAAAACATTATTTCTTATATTATTTAAGCAATTATATGCAGCACACTTTAAAAATTATTACTCACTATAGTGAATAGATGAATGTTCTGTTTTTCAGGGATTTCAAAATTAAAAAGAAATGGAAAACTATTCTACTGCTTTTATTAAGTAATGAACATTTTTGTGTGAAGAATCGTGATGCATTTCAGACTCAAATCGAATCGTTAGGCAGAGAATCGGAATCGGATCGAATCGTGAGGCAGGTAGAGATGCACACCACTAATATATATATATATATATATATATATATATATATATATATATATATATATATATATATATATATATATATATATTTATTAGGGATGTGAATCTTAGAGCAACTCACGATTTGATTCGATTCCGATTCTCGGGGTGCTGATTGGATTCAGAATCGATTCTCGATTTAAATTGATTCACAATCAATATTAACAAAGAGTGTCAGTTCCAGGATGAACTACTTTGTTGTACAAGTTAGTTAAAGCTATGGGACATTTTTTATTTTACTTTAAACTGGTCATGCTAAAAAAATAAGCTAATTTACAAGGTTAAATTAAGTGATTCTAAAACTGTAAACAGAAACAATCTTTTGCCCAAAAGGCAACATTTATTTTTGCTTACCTTGTAAAATATAACAAATCTTTAGTTACCTAACAGTAGCTTTGAAAGTAATACAGTCAAATACTTTTTAAGTATCTGTGGAAACAAGTTTAACATTTGAGTCCTCAACCTGTTTAAAAAAAGTACCTCAGATTTCTTACAAAGGAAAATGTTTTCTCTCATTTATCAATAACTTCAAATAAACACGAGTAATCCTGAGTACTCACTTATCAACTTAGAAAATAAATATGAGAATATCTCAAATTTCTGAGTATGGAAAAAAATTACATTCTAGTGCCCTCTTATCAGCAGATTCAAACATAAATCATCTCAATTTATGGGACCACAAAAGTAAACGGAGTACTGACTCTCCTAACAAAGACCAAAAAAGTGCATCTCAAACCTGCAACATGCCAAATATTTCAGTTCTTGCAATCGATTCAGAATCTTTTTAAATAAGAATCCCGATTCAGACTTGAATCAATTTTTTTCAGCACCTCTAATATAAATATATATACACAGATATATATATATATATACACACACACACACACACACATGCCCACACACACACACACACTGGTACAATGAAGTAAAACACAACATACTACTCAGAACAGTCATTCCAGGTTAAACGTCTTAATCCGTCCACTTGTAAACAGACCTGTTGGTATTTTGCCAACACACACACACACACACACACACACACACACACATACACACACACACACACACACACACACACACACACACACACACACACACACACACACACACACACACACATACACACACACACACACACACACACACACACACACACACACACACACACACACACACACACACACACACACACACACACACCTTAGTTTTTTCACTAAGCTCCCTGGGCACAATAAACACAGATTTCTTTTAGACCCGTAGGATAAAAAAACTAAAATTCAACTCCGAACGATCCAACTAACCAACAAACATCTCTACTTCTGAACTAAATTGTGAGTAAATTGTTTAATAAAGTGGTAAAACTTAGATGTAAAATATCAACAGTAGAAATTCCCACATACAAACAGCCGTTAAACAAGCATGACATCAGAGGTGACAGGAACCAGCTCACCTCTCACCTATTTCTGCTCCGTAGAACAACAGCATTTACATCATCAACAAATCTCATGCATAAACATATTTTTTTTTATTTCCTAAAAGCTGCCTGACAACAACCGTCCAATCAGCTGAAAGGAAGGTGGTAAATGTGTCTGCAGTGACTTGTCTGCAGGCGCTCGTCATAATTCAACACTGTTTGATTAAAGGACCAGTAAGGCAGGTAAATGTAGGTCAAGAAGTGTAACAGTACAGAGTGTTCAGACAGCAGAGCCTTCTGTTGGGAATGCTTTATCCTGGAGCGATCAGCCTTGCCAAAGAGGTTGTTGTTTTCAGAACCTCTGTGTGTGTGTGTGTGGGCTTGGATTGAGCAATAGATTAAATTTAACAGGAAAAGCTCCAAAAGTAGCAGAGAAAATATTTGGATCATAAATTTAGCCTTGTTGTTGTTTTCTTAATTTTAGCAGAATAGAAGAAAAAATATGATGTCATCACCCTTTTTGATACTAGAGTGAAGAAAACTCCATGAACAGCAGTAAACATGGGGAAACCATTCAAATAGTTCATTTAATTCTCTTTTCTTCTGCAGAAACAGATGAGATTCCAGGTCTGATCTGAATCATCTTCTTGTTGAACACGTGCCTCGTGCTTGGGTGATTTCTGTGTTTTGTTTGGGTTCGGGGTAGGAAACATGTCTCTAACCAGCAGATGTCCCCATCTAAAGGACAGGGTTTAAATTTCCAGCTTGAGGCTCTGATGGTGCTTCTGTGTTTGGCTTCTTTAGTGATGACTTGGTTCTGTTCTGCTGCAGGTCGGGTCGGTTCTGCAGCAGCCAGACCAAACATCAGCATTAACATCAAACTGGTGTTCAACAGAAAATTCAAGTTTTCAGGGTTGAACGTCTGCATAGACCTTTACAACCCTCTGATTAAATCAGTGATTTAGCAATTCATATGTTCTGACTTGTTTTAAAAAAAGAGAGCAAATGCTACGTCAGAGTGCAGTCAGACCCGTTAACCCGATGTTCTGGAGCAAGAAATTTAAAAACACTTAACAACGTTTCACCCCAGCAACTGAGAGTATGACAGCACCAGATTTTCCAGTTGCACTAGCTCTTTTTCTTTAAACATCTTTGGTGTGTTCTTGCTGTGCTGAGTTTCAAATTCCATCTTTCAGTTCTTTTTAAAACACAGAAAGGTTTTATTCACCTGCAACGTTTCGTTTGTGGCTGCAAATAAATTCGAAAATAAACTAAGGAAGTGACGCCACCATCGGCGTCAGCCTGATGATGTTTGCAGCTGCAGACCAAACGTTGCAGGTAAATAAACCTCTTCTGTGTTTTAAAAAGAACTGAAAGATGGAATTTGCATCAGGTATAGAGAATTGAGCCAGATCCAGACTCCCATGTCAGAGAGGTATCTCTCAAATACATTTACTTGTAATCAAGCAACAAAAATGAGACAAACCTTATATTAATGCTTGTTTTTCTTTCATAAATCTGATTAAAACGAGTGTTTAGGAGAATTTTTTGTGTGAACGCATTTGTGCATTTTGTGTAAATAATAATCTACTCACAGAGACAGATGGCAGCTAGGATCCTCAGGCCACTTTCTGGAGGAAAGCAGGTGGGAAAAAGAGGCTGGAGGACATAGTTGGAGAAGGTCAGGGCGATGACGGCCTGGTTGGTCGGATAGATGACCAAAACAGCGATCCACAGTCTCAGAAACCTGAAGCAAAGAAGAAAGGGGGTGGTGTGTTTACTGACCTGTAACTCTGGCACTCGTGTGACCTCTTTATGCTCTGTCTTTTCCTGAAATTCCCATCACTATTCATTAGTGATGTAAGAAAATGTAGATTATGGCAATATTTCGTGATATTTTCCCCAGCGATATTAAATCGATATTCAAAAGCTGTGTATCGAAAATATCGATATCACAATATATCGTGATATATTTTCTTGCAAAAATGTATCGATATTCAAAAGTCGCGTATCTAATTTTTGGAAGAATTTACATGGAAACATTTGTGTATTTTCTTTTCTTGTGGTGCAATTCAAACGCCGACCACTAGTTGGCAGCAGTGTATAATGGGTTTTGTTTCCACCATTGAAATGTAAATCCCTCTGTTATGGTTAAACATGTTAAGTATCAATTTGGACTGTTTATTGAATTTTCCTATAATAAATTTAGTCTAAAAAATCGCCACTATCTTCTGACTGAATGTATCGCAATATATCTTGATATATTGTATCGTCTCCCCTGTATTGTAATACGTATTGTATCGCCAGAATTTCACCAATACACATCCCTACTATTTACTAGTATGAAAGAAATTCAAAATGCACTAATCAGTTTAGCATTTAAATTTAAACAGTGTAAGATAGAAATGAGAGAGATCCTTCATTAGATCTGTGAGAAACAGCCCATCTGCTGCTGTGTGATGAGTGCTAAAAGATGGAAAGAAGCAGAGAAAGAAACCGATTTGTACTGTAGAGTCGATGAGAGGAGAGATTACTGTAGGATAAAGCAGGGTGGAGGATTTTATGAAACTTAAAAATACAAAATCAATGTTGATTTATACCCCAAATGTTAATTTATACAACAAAAGATGTTTTTATTAGGAAAATTTATTTATTTCATGCACTTTACAAATGTATTAAACTACTTCACCACAATATTTAGAGAGATCCTGCTCTTTCTGATGACTGAATTGCAGATTTGATATGTAATTAGATAAAAATCGTTTATCAGAATAAAACATGTCAGAGTCCAGAGTAGCAGTGTATAGTAGAAATGATCTGACGTTGTCAAACTGTCAACTTCAGGGTTCATTTCAAGATCCTGGTTCTGGTCTATAGGGCATTACATGGACAAGCACCATCTTACATTGGTGATCTTCTCAGTCCCTACACCCCCAGCAGGTCCCTGAGGTCCAGTGATCAAAGCCTACTGGTTGTACAGCACCAGGCTAAAGACCAAAGGTGACAGATCATTTGCTGCTGTGGCCCCCAGACTCTGGAACTCTCTCCCCCTGAGCCTGAGATCAGTGGACTCAGTGGTCTCCTTTAAAAAGCAGCTGAAAACTCGCCTGTTCAGGCTTTGGTGTGACCTTCATCACCACTCTCTCTTTATTCTGCTCTCCCCACCTATTCCACCTTCCTCAGGATCCACTGATTTCCCTCTTTCCTATTCACTCTCTCTTTCTTAACATTTTTTCTTTTAAATCGCAATTGCTTATTTTTGCTCATTTTAAATATATTTTTAAACATTTTCTAAATACTTTTTCATATTTTTACATTTTTTTATTTTTTGTTTTTGTGAAGCGCCTCGTGATTTTTATCTTTTCTTTTTCTTCTTCTTCTTCTTTAATTTCTGTAAACTTATTTTAATTATTTCCCAAAAGTTTAGCTTCAAGTGTGTGATTTTTAAAGTAAAAGCTGGGAATCAAAGCAGAGGATAAATACCAACATACAATCTTCTACATTAATTATTTTAAAAATCCGACTTCCTCTTATTTTGATATTCCTGCGTGACAGAAGCGCTAAAGCTAGCGTATAATGCTTTTTGTGCTTGCTAATGGTGAAATGAATTCCATGTGCTTTAAAACTGACACCAGCATAAAGGTTTATAAACACAGCATTCATGTGAACTACAGTAGAGCTTTTGAGATGAAATCTGTTTTAGAGCGACAGCTCTCCAATAAATCTCTGCAATGACTAGCCATTAGCTTATCAATCTTTTTTGTTTCTGCAGATGTTCAAAGAGTCTTCTACAAGATGTAAGATAACACTTGTTTAAAATGTTCACACAGAATCTGATTAAAAATGGCTGAATCGTAGCTTTAAAGGTTTCTTTTTGGTAAAAAAAAACTCAAATGAAACTAAACGTAACCTAAAGATCGGAGCTTTTATTTTTGTTACATGGTGTTTTCATCATCAAATACAACATTAATCGTAACATCTACATCCCTCGAACAACCCATACGCATAATTTTCTCCAACCTGCTGCATCCGGTGGACTTTGAAGTTACGCACCCTGATCAGTCTGAAATAACAACTGTTCTTTGTTTTTGAACCATTGTCCAATCATATGTATGCTTTTGTGAGCTAAGCTTCTCACTGCCGCCGTAAGTAGATGTAAATATTTCTGCCATTCTATTAAGAGGCTTAAAGGAACTCCACACCTACAAACATTCGAGGACAAAAGCTGCAGGAAAATAAAAACAAACATCCTTTGAACAGAATTTATTTGTGCTCAACAGAGGGCACGGGGAAACACTTCCAACCAAGCATCTGAAGACGGGAACTACAAAGTCTTTACGTTGATGTGAATGGATAGTTGTGCTACAAAGAGACCAAAAACAATCCATGGCTGTTATGTCTGGACGAGTTCCCCTCCCAAAATACACATATAATATATATTCTTGTGATAATTGGACAAAAACAATGCTTTGGTCTGCGTTTACAGTGTGAGGACTGTGTGCAAAATCTATGCAAACAAAGAATATTGTTTGTTTTTACAACTATACGTGGTTCCCAAGCTTTGACTGCGATCACTATGACCTTCGGGCCTCCGGATTAACGAAGGTCATTTCAGTTCATTTATTTATTTCACGTCAAACATCTAAAATCAAAACAAAAGGCATTCAGAAAGGGAGCAGGAAGCAGCAACTACGTATCCAGTCCTGTCCCAATTTAACATCTCTTAACTGGGATGAACAGTAGTTTCTTAAAATACTTATTTTTCTTTGGACTTTGGCTGTTTTTTTACTCATCTTCTGCCCCGTACATGATAAAAATGTACTATATCATATTTGCAACACTTTTTATTTATTTGGACCCCTGCCTCTTTAACAGGACTAGTACATTCCTGTCATGGTCTGCGTCCTGCGTCTCCCTCACGTGTCTCCTTGTGTTCTCCATCCCTCTCTAGGTTTTTTACCCTTAGGTGTTCCCCTCAGGTTTCGGTGTCTCTGTGTGTCCCCAACCCCCTCCAGGCTCTCTAGGTTTCCCTTACGTTTTTCCTTAGTCACCTTTTATCATTAGTCTTCTGTTAAGTGTTTTATCTAGTCAGTTTTCTCCCTCTGGTTCATTTTGCTCCCTTCCCCATTTTTAGGTCTGGTTTCCTCCCCTGCTCCGTTGTGCTCTTCCTCTGTTTATTGGTCTCACCTGTGCACAATTCCCTAATCACCCAGCCCTTGTGTATATAACCCTGTCTGTGTCCCAGTGTGGTGTCGGTCCATTGTTCGTGTCAGCGTTGTTCTTGGTCCCCTCTCTAGGTCTCTAGGCATTAGGTTTTCTCTTGGTCTCTAGGTTTCTTTGCACTTTGGATATTTTTGGACTTTGGTTTTCTTGGACATTTATTCCTTAAATAAAGGATTTTACGTTTTTCTACCTGCCTTGTGTCGTTCTGGAGTCTCTGCATCTTGTGTCCTAACCTCCTCCTGGCTCACAGTGTGACAATTCCTCAATCTCCTTCCATCAAAATGTGCACAAGCCTTCTGCCTCCTTGTAGAACAGGGGTGGGGAACCCTGGTCCATCGAGGGCTGGTATCCAGCATATTTTAGTTTCAACCCTGCTTCAAAATACCTGATTTCAATCAGCAGGCAATTAACAGGCTTCTGCAGAGCTTGATGAGCTGCTGAATAGGTGAATCAACCACAGAATCAGAAGTGTAGGAGCAAAGACGTGCCGGATACCGGCCCTCGAGGACCAGGGTTCCCCACTCCTGTTGTAGAAGATAGAAGTACTACACATAAGTGCCAAATATATTTTTATTCCTGTTGTAATGTTGTATAATTATCCAATAAAACATATTAGATGTTATATAACTGTGGCCGGGCTCAGCCTTAGAAATAGGGTGAGGAGCTCGGACATTCGGGAGGAACTCAGAGTAGAACCGCTGCTCCTCCGGATCGAAAGGAGCCAGTTGAGGTGGTTTGGGCATCTGATCAGGATGCCTCCTGGACGCCTCCCTGGGGAGGTGTTTCGGGCATGTCCTGCCGGCAGGAGGCCCCCGGGTCGACCCAGGACACGTTGGAGATGTTACATCTCCAATCTGGTCCGGGAACGCCTCGGGGTCCTGCCGGAGGAGCTGGTGGAGGTGGCCGGGGAGAGGACGGTCTGGAGCTCCCTAGTTGGGATGCTGCCCCCGCGACCCGGACCCGGATAAGTGGAGGAAGACGATGACGACAACTGTTTAACTGATAATAGCCTACATTACATCAATGTTGAAAAACCTCCAGATTTTTATTTCATGTATCAGGATTTAAAGAGGTAACAGAACGCTGTTCTTGTGTTATTATGGCACTTAGCCCTGAATCACCCTGAATCATTTACTCATAGAAAACCCAATGAATGAATGACTAAATGCCAAAACTCAAGATAAAACCTTTAAAGACCCGTTTTATACATCAGCTCTAGCTTGTAACTTACCAGCCAGGAACTTTGGTTTTAGCTGTTTGTCACAGAACACAGTTTGTTTCTTTATCTTCAGCTGAAAGTGTAGAAAAATACCCAGTCCCTCTGGGCTTACTAAAGTATCTTTGAATTTGAACTGAATTTGAATACCACAATTTGACACTGAATAGCTATTCAGTCCAGCAATAGGATTCTCAAAGAGCTATTTGCTAAAAACTTGTGATACAGTTAACAATCTCTTTAGGGTTTGTTTCTTTTTTTTTTGTTTTTAAAGACTCGCCTTTCTTACAAAACTAATCTGCAGTAGACTGTTTGCCAGTAAGGGTGACCTAACAAGATATTTGTGAGAAATCAGCTATATTCAAAGCACATTTACTAGATTTTAAAACAGTCTAAAAGTTTTAGCTTGACCAAAGTTTAGTACTCTGCTTTTTGTTTGGAAATTTCACAATATAAATGTAGAAAATAAAAATAAAAATGTGTTGGTATGAAAAATGGTATCCTTTATCTAACTAATGATAAAAAAAGTGAGAAATATGCATCTGGTCAAAACTGATTAAGTAAAATAACTCATTTTTTTAACACACACAGTGGTCTCTGGCATAAATGCCTTGTGAGTCGATCTCTGTGGGAAAAAAGCTCTTGCGCTCCTGTGTCAGAAACTAGAAGTTAGCTGGAGGAGAGGGGAGCAGATGATTGGCTAACAGCAGCGTAACTCTACCACTGACTGCAGTTGCTTTGCAACATGGATGCTTTATCTCTACAAATAACACACGCCCGAAAGAGTTCTGCCGTGCAGTGGAGTTGCTAATGCTAACAGTTAGCTTCTACTAGCCGAGACGTTCTTCGCTGTTTCCTGGATGCTAAACCAACAACAGCCTTTCCTGTCGCGAGTCAATAAGAATGAGTACATGAATGATAATTTACAGTATTTTGCACGATTGACTGACGTTTATAATCTGAGTGTTTCCTCGTCTGTTTTCAAGAAAACAGACGATGAAGATGATGCACAAATTTGAGAAGAAATATCCAAAATTTGTTTAAAGGTATAATTCTTTCTCACTTTTCTACCAGCAGATGTGTCTAAAATACCGCTTCAGCGACTGGACGTGCACACTCACCCAGCCAGTCCACCGAAGATGTCCTTCACATAGGAGTAGTCTCCTCCTGATTTGGGAATGGTGACGCCCAGCTCAGCGTAACACAGTGCTCCTATGGCAGTGATGAGCCCCGTGATGATCCAGACGATCAGAGCCACGCCCACAGAGCTGGCGTTCTCCAACACGCCCTTCGGACTGACGAAGATACCTGAACCAATGATGTTTCCTGAGATGGAAGAAGATAGGTGCTTTTAACGCCAGTTTTATACTATAAACTAGCACAAATAAATGTAGCATCCTGTATTCTGCTACTTAAACGGCTTGGTAGGTAGGCCTGAGAAATACAAGGGTGATTATTAGATTAGGTCCGTAAGCATTGTTACAGTTTTGGAAGGAAACACTTCAGATGTGCAAATTGATAATGAAACAATAGGCCCATCACACTTGTGCATGACCCTCACTTGTTTTATCGACAGAAACTCTAAGTCAGCCCAGTCTAAAGGTTCAGAGGCCCAGGGAGCTGATGGACATCTTGATTTTAACACACAAAGTACTAGGGATGTCCCGTTCCAATATCGATATCAGAAGTAATTCGATATCGGCCCAAAAACACCGTATTGGATTATATCAGACGGCATCAAAAACCTACGATATAAGCCGTCCATTAAGGTTCACATTTTTGCAGCCAATGGTAAAGTAAAAATTGTCATTTTTTTCTAACTTACTGTTATTGTTTCTTGTTCTCTAATCGAGTAATATCACTTGATCTAGCCTTTCATACATTCCACACTACAAAATAGGTTAAAGTATGTATGATTTGTGCTGATATCATATCAGATTGATATTGGTATCGGTCAATACTGAAGGCTGCAATATCGGCATCGTATCGGAAGTGAAAAAGTTGTATCGGGACATCCCTACAAAATACACACCAAGTACGCAAATTAGACAAAAAACATACAGAATGCCAGCACAGAAATGCAAAAAAGGCTACAAAAAGGTGACACAAACTATCACAATGACACAAAACTTCCACAAAGATACATAAATGGACCATTTGAGACGAAGTTTTGAAAATTCTTTCGAAATGTAAAAATTTCAGAAACAAAATGAGTGAAAAGTAGGAAAAACAGAAATCTCAAAACACTACAGTACACTTAATTAAAAAGACTGGACAGAAAAATGATCATAGAGATTTGTAAGGGTCAAACTCGGTCATAGAAGGATCAGAGTGGGACTTAAAAATTGGTTCAAAGTTCTGTCAAAAGTCCAAAAACTTTTCTACATATTAACACAATCCACTTATGTCTTCAGATCAGGAAAAAGCATTATGACATGAAGACAGACTGAAGTAAAACACGTAACCAGAAACAATAAATGAGCAGGCTCAATGGGGGTGGTGGGGTGGTGGTGTGTAAAATGCTGACTTTGCACAGTTCTGAGGAGATGGAGCAAGACAGAAGGCGGGGTGAATGAGTGCAAAGAGGTGGATGCATATGGGGGGTAATAATGTCCTGACAGACCTGATGAGCATCAGAGTTCAGTTTACACAAAAGCAGAAAGCTGGAAATGACGGTTGATTAGCCAAGATGAAAGAACGTGTCCCTCTGATAGAGCTGAGGTCAGAGTTCAAGAACATCCAGTCACGCTCAGGGTTTACTGTGAATCACCAGGATCTGAGATTTCATGAGCGGGACAATTGGCTCAGGCGCAGTTCAAAGGTCAATGCTACAGTTGCTTAAAATTTCTACCACTTATATATCCTACATATGTAAATATACAGTCTGGCCATGACCCAACCCAGTGGTGGGGCGGAATCTACGCTTGTCTTTCAAACTGTCTTTGCACACAATTGGACAACACTTGGACCAATCAGAGCAACAAACAACACGACGTATTCAACAGTCAATAAAGCAGTTAGCCATACACAGTTGAAGAAGAAGAAAACACATCTGTTTTCTAAATAAATGACTTAAGCACTTCTTTCTGCTCATGTTTCAAAGGTCTACATTTCTAGACTAGGTACTACTGCCAATGAAGCGTAGAAGAAGATTTCCAGGTGTCAGCGATGCAATGTTTTAGAAGATATATTGGCTCAGTAACGTTATTGCTTGTGAGTTGCAGTACCACTCTACAACAATAGAGGTGAGAGTGGACCAGCGTGCAGAGCATATATCAACACTGCGGAGAGGTGAGACTTAGGCCGTTTATCAATACGCGTATTCGCCTTAGCTTGTGTACTCACTTCCTTGTGAAAAGTCATCAACAATGGTCTGAGTACTGTTTCAATCCTGAGTACGTATCACAATGAGTCGTTTACATCTTACTTATGAACCATAAAATGTGAGATTCCATAGAAATATGAAATATCAATCTGATGGATCTTTGAATATTTTATCCAGAAGATCAGAACTTTTTATTGCAGGGATTAAGTGACACTTCGTATTAACTCCAAGGAAAGAGAGAGAGTCAGGTTTAAAATAGTTAAGAAATTTATTTCTACACAATTTAAACAAGACCAACTTTAACACTCTGTGTACTGATGGACTAAGGTGTAGTTAGAGATGAGATGATGATGGTGTGTGTGTGTAATGTTATTATCAGAATTAGCGGATCCGGAGAAGCATTTAGTTCTGAGTGGGAGTGAATGTTTCGCTCTAAACTTTAGTAGGAGATTTATAACACACATGAAACGCCATCTGTCGGTCTACGTACCCCAGGGGAAGCCTCCGTTAGATCCAAAATGTCGAGGTCCTCTTGGACCCTCTTTGGTACCGAAGCCGGTAGAAAAGCAGCGGTGCCGACCAAACTAGTCTTGGAATGCTTCCAGGTCACGACAGGTTATCACTGGCGTCAGCGAGACCCTGAAGGGGTCGTGAGGTTCAGCTTTTATTCTGAAGGAACCGTTGCGATCAGGTGTAACTTGCAACAGATTTTATCCAGCTTGTCGAGGTTCTTTATGGCTGAAGAGGAAGTCCGGATGGCCTGTCCGAGACTTCTCTAGAACGCTTTAACTAAAGAAAAGGTGGCGTGGAATAGTTTTTATAATTGTCATATTTTGGTTTACTGGCGAATCAGAATTTGACTTGCAAAAGAGGGTTTATACAAACACCACAGAAAACCACGCCTAGGGTCAGAAACGACGGTTCTGATTGGATCAAACAAAAGGAAATGTGTCATGTGACTTTAGCATTACGTGTCATCAGTGTCTAGTGCAAATGTCCAGGATTATAATTACTTGTAAAATATTACTGATCACAGGATTATGATATCAAGTACTAACATTGTCATTTCACAGATTGATTGATTGAACATTGGGCTCACATTATTATTGGTAATAACAAAGTTGTTGAATATGTATTTATCAAAATAGTTCTTCGTCTTCGTATTGAGCTGTAAAGAGGTGAAGCAGCTCAGATGAGCAGAGTGCCTGAAAGACCTTGGCCACTATCTCATGTAGTCTCTGCTCGAGCAGACGCAGCAGATCATGACCTTTAGGTCAAAAACAGTACATTTCATGATGCTACATAGGTATGTAAAAAAATTCTGCTTGTGTTTTTTTGGATGCTTCACAAAACGTGCTAAATCCAACTAAGAAATGCTAATTAGCTAACCCAATATCAAAATAAAGCCAGCGTTGTCGTGAGCCGGGGTGAGTACTCTCTCTTTATCAACATATCTCTGAGTGTGTTTGCAGGAGACGGAGCGGCAGCTGCTCCTGATCTACTAATCAGCGGGTCGACTACTTAAGAGGGATGGTGAACACAGCTTGACGCCGGAGGGTTGCTACTGCTTGGTAGTTTCCAGCCCTCGTCCTAGTCTCCAGGTTTTTTCGGATTACTCTAGTGTATTTTTGGCTCACCCTCAGGTACTCGATACTAGGGTTGTCACGGTAACCGGCATAGCGGTAAACCCCGGTAAAAAAGTTGACAATAAAAATAACCGTCCAGTTTTTAAAAAACTAAATTATCTCGGTAGGTTTACCGTGGCCGCGGTTTAGGCGCGATGACCCTTACCAGCCACCGTCGCTTCTGTTGAAGATCCCGCGCGCCGCACACGCACTTTTTAGTTTGCATGGAAGCTGAAATAATGGCCGAAGGAGGAGACCGCAGCGCCCAGGACATCCATCAGCCCTCAAAGAAAACTAAATCAGAAGTATGGGCGTATTTTGGATTTCTGAAGAATGCCGAGGGACAGTTAATAGAAGACGGCTATCCCGTTTGCAGAACGTGCATGAAAAAAGTGTCTGCAAAAGGCAGCAACACTTCTAATCTAATGGCACATCTGCGTGACAATCACCCACGTCTCTACAGCCAGTGCAAGGTAAGTTAACATTAGCATTTTAGCTTAAATGCATGACGTGAGGACTTTTGGCTGAGGGAGAATGCAACGAGTCACTATATACTGCAGCTGCAGCATCCTCTGCCAGCATTTAAACCGTGTCACGGACACCCCCATATTAAAATGATGTTATGCATTATGGCTCCCATGGCGCAGATGAGTTGGTCGCCACTGCTCACCCTATTATTATGAATTTAATAATGGTTACTGCTTGATGACATTTACCCTAATCTGCAATGATATGATATATCGTATTAACTTGAAGGACACAAACCGAGGACAATAATATTTTCCTGATATAGTTTTTTTTGTAGTTGTCTGAAACTGTAACACATTTCTGGCACTATAATTAGTACATTTAATACCCTCGAAGTGATCAACAATGCATAGTTATAATGAAATATTGGAATTAATGGGAAATATGCCTTGAACTTCCTTTAAAATGCCCTGTGAGATAATACATTTTTTGCCAATCCTTTTCTTTGGAGTTAGCAAAAAAAAAAGGTATAGGCAAACACATCGTATGTATATTGATATGAATAGTTGAATAATGATAATGATTCAAAACAATGACATGGATATTTTTTTAATATATTTTATTTTTGTTTACAGAGAGGAGCAGTGGGACAGACAGCGAGGCAACGGAGTACTGCTACTGGATCATCAGTAACACAGACACTTGAGCAAGCATTCCAAAAACAGACGGATTATGTGCCTGCATCCCAAAAGGCTCAAGAACTGACTGCAGCCATCGCCTATTTAATAGCAAAAGACATGATGCCTTTCCGGATAGTCGAGAGACCTGGCTTTCTGAGGATGATGAAGGTTGCCGTACCTCATTACAAAGTGCCTACACGCAATTATTTTTCTAAGACTGAAATCCCA